ATGGTAAAAAGCGGACCCACAGTTATCACTTCTGAACTCTGTGCTAAGGTGAGCTAAAAACAAAGGAAAATGTGATCACACTGGTCATGTGTTGCCGAGGGGAAGTACTGACCAAGGTAAAGTGAACCCGACATCCAAACTAGTATCAGATATTCTAGTAGTACAGCAATAAAATAGCTTGGGGGTTTCAAATTTGAAAAGAAAAACATAGTTATGAAATTTTGTTTATATTTATGACAGCAATTGGTTAATGTATAAAACAAATTTATTTTCAAAACAAAAGATAATCTAACAAATCATATAATAAGAGGTAATAATAACATCTAAATTAAAGTGTTAGTTTTCTTTAGTTTTAAGTGACATTTTTTATCTGAAAATGGGGCTGACAGATAAAAAAATCAAGTGTAAATTAACAGTTTTGTTAGTATTAAATAAACAAAACTTAACCAAAGGGTAAACTACTAGTAATGCCATGGATTGGATCATGAATAAACTCCAACTTGGGAGTTTCTTTCATTGTGTAAGAATTAACATTGTAAATAGATAATACACATAATATAAATTAATAAAACACATAATATAAATGAATAAAGCCCAGGTTTAAATATACTTCTACAAACATCTGTATATTTTACTATATTTGTAATGCATGTACATGTATGTATTTAACCATTCAAACTCTAGTAACTAAGATAATGGACCACATCCTCAAGTATAGAACCAGGCCAGCACTCACATTGAGCAGACTAACATGTCCCTTTACTAGAAGCTACTCAATTATTTTGTATTATAAAACCCAAAGCAATCAAATTTGAGATAGGAATTAAACATAGGATACAACCAGTGCAGACCAAGATTCAGCAGTGGTAAGGATTAAACATTAATATGCAACCAGTGCAGACCAAGACTCAGCATGGGTAAGTATAAAACATTAATGTGACCAGTTCATACCAAGATTCAGCAGTAGTAAGGATTCACCATAAACATGTGACCAATGCAGACCAAGATTCAGCAGTGGTAAGGATTAAACATTAATATGTGACCAGTACAGACAAAGATTCAGCAAGGGTAAGGATTGATCATTAATATGTGACAGTGCAGACCAAGATTCAGCAGTAGTAAGGATTAAACATTAATATGTGACAGTGCAGACCAAGATTCAGCAGGGGCAAGGATTAAATATTAATATGTGACCAGTGCAGACCAAGATTCAGCAGTAGTAAGGATTAAACATTAATATGTGACCAGTGCAGACCAAAATTCAGCAAGGGTAAGGATTGATCATTAATATGTGACCAGTACAGACAAAGATTCAGCAGTAGTAAGGATTAAACATTAATATGCGACCAGTGCAGACCAAAAATTCAGCAAGGGTAACGATTGATCATTAATATGTGACCAGTACAGACAAAGATTCAGCAAGGGTAAGGATAAAAACATTCATATGCGACCAGTGCAGACCAAAAATTCAGCAAGGGTAAGGATTAATCATTAATATGAGTTCAGGGCAGACCACGATTCAGCAGTGTTAAGGATAAAACATTTAATATGCGACCAGTGCAGACCAAGATTCAGCAGGGTAAGGATAAACATTAATATGTGACCCATGCAAAACCAAAAATTCAGCAAGGGTAAGAATTCTATCATTAATATGCGACCAAAGCAGCCCAATATTCAGCAGGGTAAGGATTAAACATTAATATCGGCCAGTGAAGACCAAAATTTTCAGTAGAATAAAGGATTAATCATAAATATGTCACCATTGCAGACCAAGATTCCGTAGGGGAAGATTAACCAATCATGTGACCAGTGTAGGACAAGATTCAGGCAGGGTAAAGGAATTAAATTTCCATTCTCCTTATATATGCATAAAGTTTTTTCAAATCATGTTTGCTTAAACCTAATACACATTTGTTTTCCAAATCAGGAAATAATTTAACAAATCTCAAATTGACTGTAGCAATATTATTAATTATCATAAACAAACATTTTGTTATGATACAGAAAAAACATCATCTCAGGTGTTACTTTTAAGTGCCATAAAGCTATACAATCTGTTACATGTAGATAAAATAAATCTTACTGTTTTCAATTTCCAACAATTGAATGTCATTGTCACAAAATACACCCATCACAAAGGTCTCAGTCTCATGTTTGTCACCTATGGAATTTGGGAATTTCAAAGGTGTTTGTCAAAAATTGGGGAAAAAATGCATGACTGAAAATTTGAAGTAATATAAATGAATCCAAAACAATCACTGTCTAGAATTTGGCATTTTCAAAACATTTAAGCACTATTACAGTAAAGCAGCCTTTATTTTCAAAGATTTTAGTTATTTATTTTTTTTTTATTTGTAACTTTGAATTGGGAATTTTTTCCAGTGGATTGAGAAAATAATATACTATTTTCAATTGGGAATATGACCAAATATTCAGCTATAAAAAAAGCCCTGCCCTAAAAAAATTAAATTAAAATTTTGACTACAACCCCACAAAAAAGGTATTTAAAATTTTTTTCATTTTGACTTTTTGGGCTGTTTTTCAAAAACCCCTAATTTTTCAATTTTTTTTGGTTTAAAATTTTGGAAATTTAAGTGTACATAACCGGCCTTTTTGGGGTATGAAAACCAGTAATTACCAATTTTTTCCCGGGTTTAAAACAATTTTAAATTGATTTCCCCAACTGACTTTTTTCCAGCGGGATTCTTCTGCCCTTTGGGACAAAAAAAAAAACGGGAATCCCATAATTTAAGGGTCACTTTTTTAAAAATGGGCCAAAAAGGAAATATTTCAAAAATATTTTTTAAGAAAAAATATTTTTGTTTTATTTCTTTGGGGGTTGAACCAATCATAAAAAATTTTAAAACTCTAAATATTTATTTTTTTTCAAAAAACCCACCCCTCCCCCTTTCCCAGTGTTTTTCCCAAAGGGAAAAAAAGGAGAAAATTAATTTTTTTTACCCATTTATTTTTTTATTTTTAAAACCTTTTTTAAAACCCTTTAATTTAAAATTTTTTAAAATTTTGTGATATGTTAAAATAAAAATTTTAAAAAAAGATTCCTAAAGGGCCCGGCCCCTGAGTCAGACGGGGAATTCCCTTTTCCCAAATCCAAACCATTTCCCAAGGGAAAACAGGCGAAATTACCAGCAGTTTGAAAAAAAATCTTCAAAAAACTACAACTTCCAACCTCACCAAGATGTGTCCCTTTGGAAAAACTGAGGGATCAATTTTAATATTTTGGAAAGAAAAGAAAGGGGTTTAACAGCTCAGCTAAAGACAACTATCCCTCCCTTTGAAAACCCAACCCTTTGGGTTTTGCCAAAAACCCCCGCCTTTCGGGGATGCCCCCCCAAAAAAAGTTAAAGCTTCGGGGGAAACCACCCCACAAAAGGGGGGGGTTTGGCAAGGACGGGTGTAAACAAAAAAAGTTATGCCACCTTGCCACTGTGCCTGCCAAAATTTTCGGGAAACGCCTGTACTTCTGGAACATTTTTTTCCAGTAAATTTACCATATTCGTGTGTGTTGAATTACATACACACTATATGTTACAAACTTTTTCAGCCAGTGCCCAAAACATAATGGAAACAACCTAATTTTAAAGTTTATGAATCTAATAAAAAGTATTTCATTAAATATAGCTTTACATCCTTAAAAGTAATGATATGTTGAAGTATGAAAACAACAAAATTCTGTAGCAAACAGGTTATATAAAATACACATAACGCATGTCAGATAAAAAATAACATGAGAAAATATTGACAATTTTATACATACACAGTGACTGAAACATCTTGTTTAAAAATTATTATAAATATATTATGCATATATCTTGGATAACTGATACAGTAGACACATACAGGTGTGTCATAAAACAAAAACATATAAAAGTGTCATTTAAAGGCCCATTATCACCCAGAAATTTTATTTTTTATTTTTTCAAAAGCTTATTTATTTTTTGTGTGCTGTAATAGTTTCAAAAAAGGTCAATCATTGGCCAATAAGCCTCACCATCTATTGCTTCTGACGCCTTTTGGTTATAAAGGCAGTTATGGTAATTTAGTATTCTGTTAAGAAGTCAAAATACTACTTAAGTCAAAATAGTACTTTGTTTTCACTTTGCAACTTTTTATGACAAACAATTTCAAATTTGACGCTAATTTTTTCGTGTTATAAGCATTTTACATGCTCTAAAACCATTATTTCAACATGATAAAACTCATGTTTGCTAATTCTAAAGAGAGAAAAAATTATTCATTTCTGTGACATAATGTGCCTTCAAATACAAAAGAAAAAACATAGTACAGTACTTAGTTCTTACCGTGGATGGATAGAGGATTTCATTAATACCTTGAGTTCTCTATATATCTAGAAAAATTAAAAACTATTTTTCTTACTTTAATACTTGTGTGATATTGACTTGTTATCATTTTATCATATGAGGTCACTTATTTTCAATATAATATACTGTATAACAATATTATATGTAGTATTTTTAGTATAAAACACAATATACAAAATATTTCACGACGCAATCAACCATACGTAAGGATATAAAGTATAACATATCATACAAATACTTATTTTTAGCTTTTTCATTCCCATCCCTAGCAATTATCCATATAATATATTATGTATGAATATACACACCAAGTCCCACTTTCTATCTACTATCTACATTTGAGCCACGTCATGACAAAACCACCATAATGGGTTTGCGACCTGCATGGATCCAGACCAGCCTGCGCATCTGCGCAGTCTGATCAGGATCCATGCTGTTCGCTATCAAGTTCTCTACTTGTTATAGAGTTTGTAAGCGAACAGCATGGATCCTGATCAGACTGAGCAGATGCGCAGGCTGGTCTGGATCCATGCTGGTCGCAAATCCATTATGTTTGTTTTGTCATGACGCGGCTCATTTGTATAAATACAATTAATAGATAAAATGTTAAAATCTATAATATAGCATCAGTAAATTTTTCAAATAATTGTTACAATTCAAATAATAAAAAACAAAAAAAAATTATAAAGAATCATTCGCAACAGAACTGTCTATGCCTTTGAACTAGATTTTTCACAATTTTACTCTCTATCTCAATACCGTTCTGTATATCTTTCTCGTCCAACTTTATCCAGTCTATTTCACTATTGGTCACAAACACGACCTCGTATTTTCTGGTATCAAGTATATTTCCTATGACAAGTTGATGCTCGTACTTTTCCAGCGATTGTTGGGCTTTGACGGTCAGCAAGTTTGGGTCCGTCTCTAACTGAAATGTTGATTTATTCATTAATTTAGATTAAATGACAATACCGTCACACTTTATATCAAAGGACATGTAAGCATTCCTTATGACGCTGTGCATATATGGAAGAATAATGCACTCTATTGCCCTGTCTGTTAAAAAGGGTTATAATAAAATGAGGGTTAGCATTTGAAGCAGATTATCACAAAGACAAATCATGAACGGGAGAAATAAACTATTAATTACTGGTAATTTATTAAAGGGACTACACTGATGTTTTTTTTTGTTTTTTTTTGGCATGATTGGACTTGAAATATTAGTCCAATATTTGTGTAAAATGGTTAAGTGACAAATCATGAATGGGGCAAGCTAACTATTAATTACATGTACTGGTAATTCATTAAAGGAACTACACTGATATTTCTTTGACATGACTTGACTGGAAATATTTGTCCAAGATTTGAGTACCATTTGATGTAGATTTAGATCAATAACTTGTGTGTAAAAATCTTAAGGTTATTCTCTAAGCCTGTTTGTCCAGAATTATAATTTTTATTGTCCAATGCTGTGCAATCAATTTCAGCTAAGAATCGCACACAAAAAAAAAAGGATTTTGATTTAATTCCGAATATATTTCTTTAAAATTGTTTTCAGATTTGTTCTCCACTTGATCTTTGCAAGACTTTTATGTTTTAAGCCTTCGGACCTCAGTGGAGTTCCTTTAATAAGTTGATTTTTCAATGATTTTGACACCTGTAATTACATTGAATTATAAAAGTTACCTTAAATGATACGACAAATGCTGATGAGACCCAGTTTTTCACGAGAGCTTCAAGCATTTTGGGGACCAGCTCCAAAGAAAGTTGCAGGGGACCATTTGATGACTGTATCTTATGCTGTGGCTGACGATTGAAAAAAAAAATAGCATTAAGTATATAATAATTACATGTAATTAACAAAATAATATAATATAACTGTCATAACTACCAGTCATTTCTGTGAGCTGAAAGTTTTCAAAATTAATAAAGTTTATGCCTTTTTCAATCACTAAGTCTTTGAATATATGATTCAATTTTTAAAATTCTACTTTAACTTCAACACTCAACATGATCGAACAAAGTGACAACCTGACTGTCCTTGGCTATTATTCATAATAACCTCAGAGTTAATGAGGATTGAAAGTAGTTCTACCATGTGGTTTTAGATGCAAACCAAAACAGAGAGTGTAATCTTCGATAATGTAAAACAAATGTGTATATAATTTGACATCCAAAGGAAAATAAAGTCTGTTTTGGTACAATTATTATTGAAAATATGTTTGACAACCATTTTTAATTTAAATATGCCCAAAGATGTACAATTTTAAACAAATCTGACTTAACGTCAACAGTTTGGCATTTTGAACTTTCGGTTCTACTACCATAATAATAAGTATATAAATAATGTATTGTTTTATTTTTTTTTATCTCTATGAATTTACTTATTTGAGGTGGACTTTTACTTGATATATTTGAAAAAAACATACTAACAACTCCCAGCATTAAAATCACTGTTTGTTTACATGTTTAGTTTCTTAGCGTAGGTAAGACACAAATACCGTATCTGTTCTGTTTATTCAATTACTATTTTGTGTTTGAGTTTCTTATCCGAAGACTGACAGAAAGGTCAGAAAAGTTGTGATAGACGAAGAAAGTGACTTACAAGTTTGTTTTTTTTAAATAACAACATAATCATTTCAAAAATCAGGTGAATATGGTATTAATCATCAACCATACACTCTGGTCCATTATAATTGAGCCGCATCATGGCAAACCAACATAGTGGGTTTGCGACCAGCATGGATCCAGACCAGCTTGCGCATCTGCACAGTCTGATCAGGATCCATGCTGTTCACTTACCAACTCTATTACAAGTAGAGAAACTGGTAGCGAACAGCATGGATCCTGATCAGACTGCGCGGATGCAGAGGCTGGTCTGGATCCATGCTGGTCGCAAACCCACTATGTTGGTTTTGTCATGACGCCGCTCATATGATTATATCTCAGTCTTCAAACACACACAAAATTTGTGTAAAGTAATCATCACTCTCTATTCAACAAGCTAACCACAAGTGCCTAAGCTGCATTACTGAAGATTTCCAAAATTCCTTTCTTGAAGTGCAAACAGACAGATACGTACATGTTTATCTGACAAAATCTCAACTCCATCCTTTAAAGTGTATAAAGCTAAATATTTGCTGCAAAAATTGTTTTAATTTTATAAAAAGAATACTTCCAAAATGCTTGTCTGACATGAAAAAAGTAGTAAATTGCCTTAAAAGTGAATGGAGTATGCACAAAATATCATTACTAAATGGATAAAACCCTACTTGAAATTACAGAATAATGTCATGTTCTTGAAACATTTTATTCTGTTTATTTACATTCGGCTTCATACAGTATTCATGGGTGTTAAATGTTACAGAGACATCTTATGCAACAACTATTTTGGGAATTGACCATTAGAATTTGGATGCAATATAATTTTACTGTTGATAAATTGTAGAAAAATAACTATTTCATAGGATATAGCTTTAAACCTTTTAAAGCATTTCATCCATAACCATCATGCAACATTTAACATCTTACATCTACATTATGTGAAACAGCATGTCTTTTGGTCTACTATTTACACCATTTTTTTAAAACACTTTGGTTATATCTCTGCAGTTGATTCAAATAGCTGGCCTTCCTGGATAACTATGCAGTAATTTACAAATTTCTCATTTCTAAATCAGTGGTGAGACTCCGAGACAAATGACCTAGGTGATTAAAAAGCAAAGCAGACTGTCAAATATCTAACATAATAGTATTATTTTACCTTGATCCAATAAAAAGTTCCATGCTGTCGTTTCAGCAGAAAATATCTGAATTAGTAACTGCTGCATCAAGCGTTCTGGACTAAATATCTATTTCAAATGAGGTATCCTCATAGAATGAAAATTAATGGAAGCATGTTTAATTAATACTACCTTCAACAGCGAAGTAACCAAACTTCATTCATCAAATTAATCGGCATGTAACATCTTGACTTACATAACTTTCTTAATTTAGCCATATATCTTTACTATTACCATGCTGGCAGCAACTAAATCTACTCACGTGACAGTCACATGCAGACCATGTTCAGTCTGCACATCCACGCCATCTGATCATGGTAGAATACAATTCGTTAAATGACAGAAGAAAACATACATATTCCCGACACACCCACCCTTTTTATGTTCTGTTTTATTTTTACAGTCTTTTCTTAGTTTCAGATATTTTCAGTTAATTTCATCATGACTCCGCCGAAATCCGAGACAGCCCTCATTCCAGCTGATGTTTTTTGCAATAGACTAGAGAAATGATTGTTCTTGAAATGTAATAATTCTGTCAAATACAACGACCTTAACCTATAATGTTTGTTGTTGTTATTTAGAAGTATTTGAGAATAGAAAATAATTGATTTACTCACGGTTTAGTGAGTAAAAATATTTTGACTCACCATTTTATTTTTTGGAATGTAAAAGTCAGACACTGCTGCCGCTAAGTACAATGAAGCTTTCTTCCCTAGAGTTGACAGTATTAAAGAAGAAGCTCTTAGCAAGTGCAGATAATCCACCAGAGTTGTAAACTCTATCATGAGTAGCCTCCCTTCTCGTTGAACTGCATGGTATTTCTGAATTATGTTCAGCAACTTTGATGTGCACTCTTGTTTGACTAGAAAACATAAATCTATATTAGAGCTGTCATCAATAGAAATGATTATGGTGTATCACTCATTATAAAAAAATCTGCATTTATGTTCCTATTATGAACATCTTTTGATATATATTTTAAATATGAATATTACTGAGTAGGTAGATAAAACATCTTTTTATAGATCAAATAAGAGTTACAGGATCTTTAACCTTAACATTTAGAGCGCCCTTTAACGCTTTCTTTGTATGTAACGCATTTAATGACGTCACCTCAGTGTTATTACGCTACTGCAATATCTTTTTTATCAAATGCCTGTTTAATGGGCTTATTACACTCCTGTGATGTGGTTTATGTGATAAATACTGAATCTATACTGCTCGTAACAACAATGATTTTGGAACTGTACATTATTAATTTTAAGGCTATCAATATGAAAAGTTGAAGTTTGTCAGCCAACAGTCTGGACTGATTGCACAGATATGCTTGGTTGCCATGACTCCATAATGTTAACAAAGGTAAACCACTCTTGGTTTGAGCATGTTAATAGTTTAAAAACACAGATACAAGTCATAAAATAAATCTGAATACCACAGAGTGTTGGCCCCTCCTTGTCACCTTTGACCTCCAGAATGTCAAGAAGATGTGATTGTGGAAGGTGTCGAGTAAAAGGTTGCAGGGAACGCTGACGATGAAGGAATAAAACAGCATAACCATGCTCTAGAAAATATCTGTATATTTATTGTTATGGAAATTAAAGTGACATATGATATTATTGTTTTTTATTGAAAAGCGATGGCACACACATACAAAATCATTAATAATTGTTAACTTTTTATCAAGAACATACAATTATGTTATCTAAAGGGTCTGAAGTATAATTAATGTTAAAGAAACTATTTAAAGAAGAGGGCCATGATATGCCTGAGTGAAACTGTAAGTTCTATCATTAAGCTTGCACATGTGCACACACATCTTAGTAATCAAATACCAGTACATGTAATTATACTTTTATTTTTGATGACCTTGACTCAATTGACAACAACCACAAAAGTATAGCTTCAGGTAAGATACCTATGCAACAAATCTGCCCTTGTCAGCAATCTGTGATGTAAAATAATGAAAAATCACTACAATTTTCAATTTGGAAAGTAAAAAAGCTTGTTTAAGTTCAGATTTTTTGGAAAATTGCATGATTTTAAAGAAAATATTTCAATTGGAAAGAGGCCTTTTATAGGCCTCAATTATATATAAAATGAAAAATCACTGGGCATAGAATGTACATGAATAAGATAATGAATGTGTTATGATAAACTTTAAAAAGATACTCTGCTGAGGCAGACCCTCTTGTTCCAATGCTGAAATTGTCTATATATCTTACTGTATTCCCTTCTAATGGTACAGTTGTGCCACCTGACTGAAAAATATTCAAACAAATAAATACAGAGACAAGTAGTAGCATGTGTTCTAATTTCTATGCTTCGAAACGTTACACTATATGTACTTAAAAGGACAAAGACAGGTACCAAACTTGGTGGCATGGCCGAGTGGTTAATGCGTCAGACTAACTACCTAATGATAGCTAGCGGCATGGGTTCAAACCCCATCAGGGGTAAGTCACTGTTTCCTTCAGCAAAAAACTTTACACGAATTACTCAGTACTGGTTGGTCACAGGAACAGATTCAAAAGTATGTCTATAAAATTCCTGCATAGCCTAACTAAAATAAATTCTATATAAACCAAAATTGGAATTTGGGGTTTACAAAACCCTGGTACCTGCTCATAGTATTTAAACAAAATGTAGTTGTTGGACACATTTCTAATTATGATTTTACATTACTATATAATTTTTATGAACTTCAAATACTTTGTTACTAGAAAATGAGAAAAAGGGAAATAATTCTACAAAATAAAGATAACCAAAATATTTTATTTCGATTTGTATCATATATCAACGCTTAGTAAACAAAACAAGTGAGAAAGAAACATATTTATTATTTTTCTAGAAATATGATATTTTATTTCTTAAGCATGATCGGGCATTTTCACCAGCCTGTTTAAATGAGGCAAAACATTATGTAGCTAGCTACCTTGTATTTTTTTAAGAAAAAAAAAACTGGTCCTTGATTGATATTCATAAAACAACATTGTTGTCACCTGTGAGGGGGAAATTCACCCCTATTTACTCAAAAATTATGATAAATTCTTTACTCACTCAGACTTCTTACAATAATTTTGGTTAAAAACATGTTTGTACATATTTTTAACTAATCAAAAATTCGGTCGACATTGTAAAATACCGAAATTTTTTGAGTCAAAACATGTTCAGTATTTTATGGGTCGAAACGTTTTCAGTCTCAAAACCCCGCTGGACAGATACCCCCTGGACGCTTGTGGAAGGCATTTTTTGCTGAGAAACACCCCCATGGACACTATTTTTGGCTGAAAAATACCCCCTGGTCAACCAATTTCAAACACCCCTGGACAGATACCCCTTGGACACTATATGGAAGGCATTTTTGACTAAAAAAGACCCCCCTGGACAGACGGCCTTTTTCAAAAACCCCCTTTACAGACAACCCATCTCAACACCCCCCTGGACACCATTTTTGGCTGAAATTACGCCCTGGACAACCAATTTCCAACACCCCCGATATGTCAAATCCCAAATCTAAATGCAAGTAATTGTTCTGCAGAGTGCTCTCCTCTTTATTTTTTGTACGGAATATTTTCATTGGGTTAAGGTTTTCACACAACCAGTGAAAATACTCCATACAAATACATCCGTTTATACATGTGTACTTTCATTTTGGATGGAGAATTTAACAAATCATTAAAACGGTTCGTTATAGTTTCATATGATGTTTTCATTGACCAGTTATTACAAATATTAATATAATTTGATCATATTTATATGCGCAATACAAAAAAATATTCATTTATTTCGAATAAACTGCCGTTTAGTCGGGTAATTTTGACAAAAATCCAGCGGTCAGGTCTCTGTCGAGTTACACTTGCGGTGACTTCGAGATTACATATCTTCTTAAAACTTGAAATGATTGTAATGACAGCTTAAATTCCTTTAAGAGTAATCAATTCCCTACCATTTGGTCCCAAGATATTGAAAATTGGTGAAAAAATGTTGGAGTTATGGAGTTCATATTAAGATGAGTGCTGAAAAATGAGCGTCGAGTTGCATACCTTTACTAAATATATATATAATCATTTTTTTATTTTTTGTGGGAGATGAAGGTAATTGAATTTAAAGCATATATACCAAATATTAAAGCATGTTTAAAATGAAAAATACTGCAGTTTACATGGTTTTAAGAGGTAGGAGGGTTGTAGAGTGGGTGAAGCGGGGTGGGGTTGGCCCGGGGGTAGTGACCAATCAACGCGCCGAACACCTGTGACCTGGACATACCATTTCAATACACTCCTCCCCCCCACAGGTAAACGTTGCGTGGCCATGACTTACACTATACCCCCGTTCCCCCTCTACAACCCAAAACCCTAAAAAAAAATTATGAAAAAAAAAAATTTTTTATGACTAAAATATTATAAAGGTATTTTACTCTACTTTCATTTTGCATAGAAATATCACTAGCATCTCAATTATCAGCGCATATATTCATCAATTTTTCACCAATCTTAATAATCTTGGTCTCAAATCTTAGATAAATAAATACTCTTAAGAAAACAACACTGGCACCTTCGCTGATTATACGTAGCAAGAAATATCCAAGCCCAAACTGTCAACAAATGAAACTCGGAAGAGATCTGATTGCACCGTTTCGGTAAAACTCTCACGAGTAAAACACACTAAATTCACCGTGAAAGAATATTTCTTTGTATTGCGTATTTAAATATGATAAAATTAAGTTATTATTTATAATAATTGTTCAATCAAAGCATCTTATGAAACTATAACGCACCTTTTTTCCTATATGTCAAATTCTCATTCCAAAATGAAAGTAAAATGGGCCTGCAGATTGTTTTCAAATGGAGTATTTTCATTGGTCACAGGAAAACCTCGGACCAATGAAAATACTTAAAGGGAAACAACTCTGCTGTGCCAATTTACTTTCATTTTGGATTGAGAATTTGACATATAGGAAAAAAGGTGCGTTATAGTTTCATATGATGCTTTGATTGAACAATTATTACAAATAATAACTTAATTTTATCATATTTAAATACGCAATACAAAGAAATATTCTTTCACGGTGAATTTAGTGTGTTTTACTCGTGAGAGTTTTACCGAAACGGTGCAATCAGATCTCTTCCGAGTTTCATTTGTTGACAGTTTGGGCTTGGATATTTCTTGCTACGTATAATCAGCGAAGGTGCCAGTGTTGTTTTCTTAAAGAGTATTTATTTATCTAAGATTTGAGACCAAGATTATTAAGATTGGTGAAAAATTGATGAATATATGCGCTGGTAATTGAGATGCTAGTGATATTTCTATGCAAAATGAAAGTAGAGTAAATACCATTATAATATTTTAGTCATAAAAAAAAATTTTTTTTTCATAATTTTTTTTTAGGGTTTTGGGTTGTAGAGGGGGAACAAGGGTATAGTGTAAGTCATGGCCACGCAACGTTTACCTGTGCTCCCCCCCCCCCCCCCCTGGACGGATACCCCACGGACAAAATCCTTCTATCAAAATACCCCCCCCCTTTAACTCAAAAGTGCCTTTCATAGGGGAGTGCGGATATTTTCTGGAATAGCCCATTTTGGGTCGAAACGTTTAGGGGCCGAAATGACTGGAAATTATTTGTATAAACGACACTGACGAAAAGCAAAAACAAGGGATTACCGTAACAAGAACGACGGGTGTACTCTCTTCATTGTGTTTTGCAACAAAATTCTCGATCTGACTCTTCTTTTCAAAGAAATTTGCAGGTTCTGAAGTCTCTTCGAAAAATTTTGCTGCTTCCGCCATTTGTAGATATTTGTGATTTATGTAGTTTTCTCCATGAAGATCTACTTCCGGTTCATTACCCTTGGCCCTGGAAAAATTGGACTGAAGATAACGAGCTTTATTAGTATATAAAGGTAATGTAGACTGTCAGTGATCAGTTACGGGTATACCTTAATGATTATTTATATCACATATTCTAGATTATGACATGACACTGGCTTTTAGTAGAGTTACTGACCTAATTACTTGCATAGGTCCTGCATTGAACAGATTGTCAACAGTTGGTTAATTACATCTTAAACAAGTTGTTTAACTGATTGTGCATTGTTGTATGTGAATTAATGACTGATCTTTTTTTTCTTATTGGTTCAAACTTTGTTTTGGGTCTGATGTGATTAGTTGAAATGTCAAGGTCTGAATCTCATGTATGCAGCAAATATGGTAATGTTTTCTATTTTAGTTCTATCTGTACTGCACCGATATGTGTAGCCAAACAAATTGTGCTCTTAAGGGCTTTTTATTATACAGACGATGAATCCAACTAATTGTACTGCACAATGAGAAATTGTGCTATTTTCGTGTCTGTGAAATATCTCGTCTCTAAAAGCAAGATTCTGCCCCATAACGAAAATATCTCCAGCTTTGGCACGTCAATATATTTTGACTAACAGATGATGATTGACATCAATGTCATATCAGTTTGTAAAATTGGTCGGTCTTGCAGTCGAAGGACATGAGACTAAAATAATTATATGTACGTGTTGGTTAACTTTTTCAAGTAGTCTGCAAGACCGACCGTTTTTACAATCTGAAATAACATGAATTCCATTCTTTAGGTCTCAACCAGTTTGATTCAAAACAGTGTCAGAAATCAAACTGATTTATATTTTATTTTTTTCTCTGCAACATCAAAATTTTCACACTGGCATGTTCATTTATTGTTATAAACCATACACTGTTCTTAAGATAATCTTAAATAATAAAAAATCACATAAATTACCTAAAATCTTGATTAGATAGTATGTTGTGAGCAAAGGGCCACCTATCATCTATAAAATAAAAAGCCCTAATTCAGTGCACAATATGTTGGGCTACTTTTTCAAGGTACATTTTAATCTTAGACTAATGGTAATTCTTTTGAATTGTTAAAGCCAGTCTTGCATAGTCTAGATGTCAATGGTTTATTGAACATATGTCTAGCATTGAAATGACTGTTTCAAGCAGGTTTGGTGAATTGGTGAAATATCTGAAATGAAATCGAGCAATTTTGATCATTCAAGTGATCACATGGCCTAGACCCAGCATTTTTAGCTCACCTGTCACAAAGTGACATGGTGAGCTTTTGTGATCACTTTTTGTTCGGCTTTACTTTCAACGACATCTCCTCATAAACCGCTAAGCCAATTTCATTCAAACTTAAAAGGAATGGCCCTTTGGTGGTCACCTTTGAAAATTGTTTAAAATTTTTTAATTCCATGCATAACTCTGGCTGCCATGGCAACCGAAAGAAAAAACTTAAAATATCTTCTTTTAAAAAACCAAAGAGGTAGAGCTTAGTTATTTGGCATGAAACATCTTGTAGTATGTGTCAATCAAGTTTGTTCAAATAAAAGCCCTGGGGTCAAAATTGGCCCCGCCCCGAGGGTCATTGCTTTTCCTTATATGTATTAATATAGTAAAAACTTAAAAAATCTTTATTTAAAAAAACAAAAGAGCTAAAGCTAAAATATTTAGCATGAAACATTGTCTACTGAGTGTCTACCAAGTTTGTTGAAATAAAAGCCTTGGGGTCAAAATTGACTAGCCCCGGGGGTCATTGATTTTCCTTATATGTATATAGTAAAAACTTAAAAATCTTTTTTTGAAGACCCGAAAGAGCTAGAGCTCAGAAATTTGGCATGAAACATCTTCTAGTGAGTGTCTATCAAGTTTGTTCAAATAAATAAAATCCCTGTAGTCAAAATTAGCCCTGTCCCAGAGGGTCATTGATATTCCTTATTTGTATATAGTAAAAACTTCAAAAATCTTCTTTTATAAAACCAAAAGAGCTAGAGCTTGAAACATCTTCTAATGGGTGTCTACCAAATTTGTGTAAATTAGGGCCCTTGGGTTAAAATTGGCCCAGCCCCAGGGGTCATTGATTTTCCTTATACATGTATGTGTATTGTAAAAACTTGAAAAAGTCTTCTTATAAAAAATCCCAAAGAGATATATTTTCTAGTGAGTGTCTACCATGTTTGTTCAAATAAAAGCCCTGGGGTCAAATTGGCCCCTCCCAGGGGGGGGGGGGTCATTGTTTTTCTGTATATGAATATAGTAAAAACTTATAAAGTCTTCATATAAAAACCCCAAAGAGCTAGAGCATCGATATTTATCATGAAACATCTTCTTATGGGTGTCTACCATGTTTGTTCAAATAAAAGCACCTGGTTTACAATTGCCTTGGCCCAGGGACCTAAATACAGGTGAGCGATTTCAGGGAGATCATGGCCCTCTTGTTAGAAAGTCATGTGGAAGTTTTAGCTTTATATTTCAATACTTATTTTACAAAGTTTTTGGTTTGATCCATTTTTTTTCAATTTTGTAACAAGAAACATATATGTACATTTGTATTCATATTACTGTCAGGCTGCCATATTATCTGAAATTTGCAACAGGAATTGAAGAAAATGACTTAAATTGTGCATGCAATTGTGTAAAAAAGCATACAGGTACAGAAGACATAAAATTCTTTTCTATTTTAAGAGATATATAGACTCCCGTCTATTGGAACCCATTTCATCACCTGTTACGATCAAGCAGGGATAAAGAGTGGCTGCAATTCTCAATCTGATCCCTGTACCCTTAAAGGCAACCCCTCAGCGACAAGGGGAGTTAAAGCTACAGGAACATATCTCTGTTTCTCAGACAGCAAATATTTTCATTGTTGGGAATAATTTGGAATAGATTCGATATAATATCCTGATCCATGTATTTTTTTTTTTTCATTCAGGGCGATCATTGGTGAAGCAAACCAATAAGGAAATGTTGTTTAGACCCTTGAGAAGGTTGGGCGTAGTTTTCAAACATGTGGTGAGTTTTTGTTTACAATAAATAAATTTCACTTTTTGATTCCAATCTATAGAACATTTTACATACATGCACATTATAACAAACTTTGGTGTAATCTCCAGATTTTTATTCCAATCTGTTAAACATTTATACTAATAAAAAACATTGGTGCCTAAGATAAAAATGAAAACCCTGCATATAGTTTTTATATTTTATAGGGTAAGTAACTGTCACATTTAATTTATCAGTAATTGTATATATGAAAAAAACATCTTTAAAAATATTTCAGAGAATGGCGTCCCCATACACAACATCATCTAGTGTAGATGATGAAGTCCTCATACAACAAATTGATACAAAAGGAATTATAACCCTGAACAGACCGAAAGCTCTGAACGCTTTAAACCTGAACATGATCCAGAAAATAATGCCCCAGATGACGGTAAGTGTTAAAAATTGTTTCATGTACTTTAAACTTTACCCTGCAGAAACAGAGTAATAGTTAGATGCTTATAAGAAAAAAATGAAAGGTAAAAACGACTCGAAAGGAGCCACTATAGCTGTTTAAACATTTTCTTGTTAGTGTCTAAGTACCAAAGTCGTTGACCTACTTTGTGTTGGCACGCATTGTATTGATTGAGATACTGATGCGATGTTTTTTATGAATGGTTAAATAAACTCTATTGATTACAGTTTACAGGAAATAGACTGTGAGAATTTTTCAAATTTCAGCAAAAATAATTAGAGTAAGGGTTTAATTAAAATAGGCTGTCAGGATTTTTTCAATTTTAGGCCTTATTGGATGAAAAAGTAAGGCAAACTGAAGATGTGCAGTCTGGCCTGGCTCTATATATTGTTGGCTGACTGATTTTACATATCATCTTGATATCCCTAAAATTGATAATGGACAGTTCCAAAAACGGAAGTTGGAGAAGTTCACTAAATACACTGAGGGCTTGGTGCGAAAGGGTTGTAACTCATATTAGATAAAGAAGGAGATACAACTCTTTGCACCAAGCTGTTGACACTTACACTGTATATGTTTACTATTAATAACAAATGTCCATCTGTAATCATTCATAAGTTTTTTAACAATTTTTTGATGTTAACTTTTTAAGTCTTGTTTCACTCAATTTTGATAAGACCACATTTACAAACATTAAATAATTGTTAAGGAATTCTGAATTATCTTTCCAGGGCTTTTTTCAGGTAGGGGAAGGAGCCCTAGGGAGGGAAAGTAGCTCTGCCTTTAAGTTTAAGAAAAAACCAGTATTTTTAGAACAAGGGAAGAATTAACTTGATGTTTTGGTATTGAAATTGAATTTAAGGGAAAATTGCACGATTTTGAAGACTTTTCCTGAGGAAAAAACCCATATAAACGGCCCTTGCTATTTATAGAAAAAAGCATTGTCTGAAACTATTAATTCACGGTAGACCTGTATATAATATTATAAATATTTTGCTTTCAGACATGGGAGAATGATCCCCACATGACAATGGTGATCATGAAAGGGACGGGCGACAAGGCATTTTGTGCTGGTGGTGACATCGTAGGTATGTGGTTCGTTTTTAACCGCTTACTTTCCTGGAACCAAATGTGTCTTACATTTTACACCAGTATAGAGCCAGGCCAGCCCTGCACATCTATGCAGTCATGAATCGCGAGGCAACCAATGAAATAATTGTCTTTGACACACTTCTAATCAACTGGATATCAGTCAAAAATTCCACAGCTGATAAATGTCAATGGTTCCGCCATAGGTATCCAACGATGAAACTTTTCTGTATAACTGTTAACATCTGAGCCAGAATCGTGACATCATTTCATGTTCTTCTATATTTTCAGCTGTAACAGAATCAGGAAAACTTGGAGGTCAATTAGCCAAGGATTTCTTTAAAGAGGAGTATATTCTCAATAATAAAATAGGTAATATTTATTTATTTACTAGTACTGAATAGTTAGCATTACGCAAATTTTATTTGTTTTGTTCAAAATTTATTCAATCAGATGTCCCTATAAAGTAGCTTACCTTCTTGCATAAGGCATAGAAATGTGCATGATCCTCCATTTTCTTTAACTTTGAGCTCTTATACATGTCTTAGTAAAATTAACAATTTGTACTTGGTAAAATTATAGATCATAGTTTGAATATCTGCATATAGCTTGTTTGTATATATACTAAGATGCTTTTTTTTTTAAAGTTTCTAATTCATTATAATTATTCAAATTATTGAAATATTCATACTTTTAATGTTTTATATAAAAAAAACAACCTAGCATTGCGCTTAAGGGATGATGCTTTACAAAGGATGAAATCACTACATTGTGACATAATTAATGCATTTTATTCACATGCTTCTAAAGACGTTTTGTTCCACCCATAATGCTCAAAAAGGAGAGCATCAGATTTCTTAGCCATTTGTTGGCAAGAAAATTTTTTATCTGTAACATTTGATCTTGAACTTTGAGTCTTATGGGCATGCAATTTGTCTCTGCTACTTCAGAAATCATATGGGATTAACAATGGTCTCTTTTTGTATAAATTGATCATTACTGATTAGTACTCATGAAAAGCCGTTAAGCTGGACTGACCACCTGTAATCATTTAAAATTAGCATAACAAACAAACTATATTTGTTTATTTTTAGGAACATATGAGATTCCGTATATAGCATTTATTGACGGCATTACAATGGGTGGGGTAAGTGTATTCTTTATTCAAGATGATGCCAAGAGCTAATTTGAATGATAAATATACATGTTTCTTGTTTTAACTAGATAAAAAAATTTGTACCGTACCTTCCAAATAGTTGAATTTTAAATTTAGATCATGTAGATGTAAACAAGTCATAGGTGATTTTTGCTTAATATTCTTTCAAAATATAAACCAAATTAAAAGATATATATTGTAAAACAAACTAGGTTTTAAGTAATTTATATTGTTTATTAAGTTTTAGTAAGAACTGTCACCTTTATAAGTAAGTTTAAACTCTGGAATGACTAGATTTTTGTCTCTTATTCAACTAAACTTTAGTCATTTATTCACAGGGCGTCGGTCTATCTGTGCATGGGACATACAGAGTTGCTACAGAAAGAACCTTATTTGCAATGCCTGAAACTGCCATTGGTGAGTGTATTTTATTATCAGTGAAACTGACACGCACAACTTAGACTTTGCCATTAGTATTGAGCCAGATGATCTAGCACATTTGTATAGTCTCTCTAGGTTTATTTACTATTGGCTGAAATATTTTTATTGCATTCCTGTATGTGATTATGGAAGGTTCAAGTTTATTGATTTATTGTCGTATTAATTGTAGGGGCAAGGCTCGTCGGCAGATGCTATAGAGGTATCGAATAATGTTCTGCATTTTGCTTCTTTTATGGACACTAAATTTGTCTCTCACTTCTGTGGATTCGAATCCTATCAAGGACTTTGGAATCTTTCATTTGAGGAAGCTGTCCAGCTAGCTTACAATCATTGGTTTTTCTCAGGTGCCCAGATGTCTTCATCCACAAGTAAAACCGAAAAGTAGCCATAAATATTATGTCCTTTAAAGTGCCTGTGTGACATAAATTTAAAAAAGTTTTGTTTTATTGTGAATTTGATGTGTACAATGTTACCATTATTTCAGGTTTGTTTACAATGTAACCATTATTTCAGGTGTGTCAGTGTGACGTAAAACCCAAACAAACAAACAAAAAATTATTTCAGGTTTGTTTCCTGATGTTTACAATGTAACCATTATTTCAGGTTTGTTTCCTGATGTTGGTGGAGGGTATTTCTTGTCAAGATTAGGTGGCAGGTTAGGAATCTACCTGGCACTTACAGGATTCAGGTTGAAAGGAAGGGACGTCCAGAAAGCTGGAGTTGCCACTCACTTTGTACAATCTGATAAGGTTACTTACTTTAACAAAAAATAAAGCTGCACATAAATTATATCAAATATTAAACAGATGTACAGTACAAGACATTGGCCATAAAACATATTTGTGAACATTTAAAGTCTGAAATTTAGATTTAGACTTTAAAATGATGCTGTGGCCTCTCGTCCAGTTGTTGAGATAGCTCAATTTGAATCGCTTGCCCCTCATCCATGTGGATTTGAATTTGAAGACTTACAATTTTTTCATGTTTGGAAGGTTTAAAAGGTCAGTTATTCTTCATCTATGTTTTCTTGTGCCTGAAACATATCTTAGGACTTCTTCCACCAATAAAGCAATGTCTCTCTGCTTAAATCGATAAGGATAGCATTTTATTTGTAATGCAGGGGTGAGTGGTTAGATCTTTAGGCAGGGTGAAATTTCTCTTGCCAATTGATCTCAGACTTTGAGTTCTAATTGCCACTTGTATCCTTAGAAAAGGCAAACATGATGTAATATAACATGTGAAAAAATGGTTTTAGAGCATGTTAGATGCTAATTACCTGAATAAAATAAGCACTTATTGAAATTATTTGTCACAAAAGTACTCAAAATTGAACAACGTACATTTAGTAGTATTTTGACTTTCATAAAAAATACTAAATCACTAAAACAATAAAGAAATAAATTTCATATGTGTGTGTTTTATAAAATGTTATAAATGATAATTGCAATTGTTTAAAAGAAATGGAATATAAAACAAGGAAATCACAATGCTTGTATGTACGAACAGTGTCATATAATTATGCCCCCACTTCGAAGAAGAGGGGGTATATTGCTTTGCACTTGTCGGTCCGTCGGTCCGTAGACCAAATGGTTTCCGAGTGATAACTAAAGAACCCTTAGGCCTAGGAACTTCAAACTTGGTATGGTGATTGGTCATGACCAGTAGATGACCCCTATTGATTTTGGGGTCAAAGGTCAAGGTCACATTGACCTTGTATGTTAAAACAGTTTCCGATCAATACTAAAGAATGCTTAGGCCTAGGATCTTCAAACTTGATATGGTGATTGGTCATGACCAGCAGATGACCCCTTTTGATTTTTGGGTCAAGGGGTCAAAGGTCAAGGTCACATTGACCTTGCAGGTAAAAACGGTTTCCGATCAATAACTAAAGAACCCTTAGGCCTAGGAACTTCAAACTTGGTATGATGATTGGTCTTGACCAGTAGATGAACCCTATTGATTTTGGGGTCAAGGGGTCAATGTCATAGTGACCTTGTACTTAATGACCGTTTCTGACCAATAACTCAACAACTCAAGTTGCCTTGGTTGATATTTTTATGTGCTTTTGGTATACACATTTGAAGGTCTTATGTAATATAATAACTTGGCTGTCATTAATGAGGCCTATGTGATTCATAAAATTTATGTATATATTATTTGGTAAGATTTTTAATAACTTTAATTGCTGCACACAACCTATGGGGTCACAATAATTATTACCTTGTGACTAGTCATGACCAGTAGATACTAGATAACCCTTATTAATTGCTTGTTCACTGGGTCAGAAGTCATGCATAATAACCTGATCTCATGACAAATTGGCTGCCGATAGGGGGCATACATGTTTTACAAACATATCTTGTTTTGTTAAATTTAATGCATAAGGTATATGTCAATTTTGTTCATCAAATGTCAAAACATTTTACTGTTTTCAGATGCATGCCTTAGAGGAGTCATTACTAAAACTACATGATCCAGAGCCGTTGGATGTTGCTCATGTACTGGATAAGTTTCAGCATGAGGTAAGTCCTCCCTGTGCCCTTTTAATTAACTCTTACCTTTTACGTAGCTAAATTTGTATAACAGACTTGCCTTGCATTGAATGATGTAGCAGTCCAGTCAGAGATTTTGGTGTCTTTCTTGTCAGGAAGCTATCCTACTTGTTTCAGGAAGGTTAATGGTGCCACACTGAGGCTTGCTTGTGCCTGAAATAATACAAGGAGTGCACCAAAGGTTTTCTTACTTCTGCAAGTCAAGGTAGAAACTCACCATATGACCATAACAGTGTTGATTATGACTTAAAATTGAAGTCCCCAAAAATGATTGAGGCAGCAATGTTATTGAGTGTTTTCATACAGCATTGATAAACAGGCTTGGCTGGTTCTATCCTTATTGCCAAAGTAACATATGCACCAGTCTGTTGTTATCCCTATCTTAGGGAATGGCAGTGATTTAGACATTTAGTTGTACTGTTGGTAAAATGGGTCCAATCTTGAACGAACAGACAGATGGTGAAATACCAGCTTCATGCCTCAGATCATATCCCAAGCTATAACTGCAACAAAACAAAAGTACCCCTCTGCTATTTTCTTGTATTGCATTGGGAACTTTCCATTGTAAATTTAAGGTGTTCAAGATGAAAATGTTGAAATCTAGTTGCCACTTTGGTATATAATGAGTAATGACTGACTTGCAGGCTGGCCTGGTGGCTCAACACTGGTGTCTGGTGATATAGGTTTGTCATTATTGCCTCAGACAGTCAGAGGGTTTACAAAAACAAAATGAGCGGTAGCCGAGTGGTCAAGGCATTCAAGCTTCTTGAGTTAAATTTCGAGCCTTTAGTTTACTAAAGTCGTTACTACTTTTCTTCATATGATATCAGTACTGGTTAGGTCCAGGAAAGGGTTTTGAGAGTTGGTCAAGTAGCCTAAAAGTTACATATAAGTTTACATATTTTAGATAACATAGTGATAATTTATTCCACCAGAGCACAGGTATACCTGATACAGACTTTATCTTAAGGGATCACATGGAGGAAATAAACAGATTGTTTGAAGGTGAAACAGTAGAAGAAATTATGCAAAACCTTGAAAAAGATGGTTCACCATGGGCATCAAAACAGCTAGAAATACTAAAGAAAATGGTTTGTTAATGTTATATTGAAAGTATTGGTTTTATTTTAAGAGTTTTGAATATTGTTATCAGAAGTTTACCCCACAACAAAATCATTGGCAAGAAGATACATGTCAATTTTACGGCAATTATAGCAACTTACTGCGAAACTGTTTTGAGTTTTGAGGACAAGGTGAAACTTTTTAAAACAAAAAACTTTAAAACTGACTATGAACCTTTTATGATTGACTTTGAAGCATTTGTTTGACTTTGAAATAATAGTGACTGACTTTGAAGCATTTTTTTGACTGTAGTAATAGTGACTGACTTTGAAGCATTTGTTTGACTGAAGTAATAGTGACAGACTTTGAAGCAGTTGTGTGACTTTGAAGTAATAGTGACTGACTTTGAAGCATTTGTGTGACTAAATTAATAGTGACTGACTTTGATGCAATGGTGTCTAACTTTAAAGCTATTATGACTGCCTTTATTGCATTCATCGAAAATCTAATTGGAAAAAAGGATTCAACATACTGTTTTATCAAACAAACTTTTTCCTGCAGATTTTCATAATTTCTCCATTGTAAGTTCCTCAGGTGATTTATTTTCAAAGTGTAGGCGTTTTTAAATTTAGATTCAATGGAACTCATGTAGTTTGTACTCTTAACAGCATTTTTTTTTTGTTTTTTCAAACAATTTGTTAGTTTATATAAAACATTATACAAATCTGGCTATATGCTGCTTTAAAAAGACTGAATATTTGTCATTGTGTAATATTTGATGAAATATGTTTTAGTCACCAGTTTCTATGAAGATTACATTACGATTATTGAATGAGGGAAGCGCTAGGACATTACAGGAAGATCTCGAGGTAGAGTACAGACTAAGTCAGAGATGTATAGAAGATAAAGATTTCTATGAAGGTGTTAGAGCAGGTAAGATTTGTCTGTTTTATTGCGTAAATGACAAGGTTTCATTATCAACAGATTGGCGATCCATATCATTGGTCAAAATGCTGTTGAAATCGGATGTATTTTTAGCCTGTAGATTAAAATAACTCACTTGACCCTTGGCCAGATTGGTTGTTTTCAGTGGCACATCTTTTACCTCAGATAGAAATGAAAACTCTGCTATATTGGCACAATGTGACTAAAAATCAGCTCATGAATAATGCTATGCTAAAGGATCTTACAGTGATGGATAAGAGGTCCCCTTCTTGTGACCTTCCAATCAGCCAATCAGTGGCAGCTGTATCATTTTTGAAAGTGGATCAATTTCTATTTTAAATCATTAGGAAACTAGAAATGTATACATAATTGTTACAATTTAAAGATACTACTGATGAACAAAAATTGCAGTGTAAATGCTTAATAGATAAATAATCTTGAAATAATGTGTAGATACCAAAAATGATAGAATAATAATGTTCTACATAAATCGAAATCAATTCAATTCAAAATCGAAATGTCAACTTGATTTTTTTTTTGTAAGGCAAAATTAAAAACTTTTCTTTCTGACTTTGCAGAAGGTGACATTTTTTGTAAAATGCTTTTCTGTAACAGATAATTTGATTGGTTGACCAAAAATATCCTTATTGGAAAATCTATATTGGCTAAAAGAAAAGAAAAAGTTTCTGACAATCAGATATACATGTAATCATAAGAAGATTTTGACCCTAATCAGATTTTTTTTTGACACAAGATATTGGGCAATATACCTGTGGAGGGTTACCAAATGCATGGTTATTAATTTTAATTGCTATGTAAGTGACATACTGATACATGTATCAAGTAAATTGCCAAGGAAATCTTGCCCAGACCCTTAAGGGAGGTAATTTGTATGGCTGATGGGATTTCTGTGATTCTAGAAGGTTTTTGTTGTTCTTAGAAGGAAACCAGATAAAATGTTTTGTAATTACCCACTTTTCAAATGATACAAAGAGAAAGTTCAATAGGGATACATCATATGTAGTTCAATTTTGTAAAGCTTTGTATTTATTTATAATTTTATGCATGTTATTTTTTTTTTTGCAGTATTAATAGACAAAGATCAGAGTCCGAAATGGGATCCTACCACAGTTGAGGGGGTAACCAAGGAACACGTAGACTGGTACTTTTCACCACTTCCTCCAGAGAGAGAACTGCAATTGTGAAGACAATTTGGGGGGAAATGAGACACAGTCTAAGCATTATTATGACATCTACCTTACTGTACATTGTGATAAAGAGAAATGCTATTAAATCATGTGCTAGTCACTCAGCTGACACTTTTTGTCATCATTTATTGAACCAATAATGTGGTTCTTTTAATGAATTTTCAATGTCTCGCATCATCGGAGCCAAGATTATTTCTCTTGTGAAATATCTTGCAAAAATTACTTTTAACTTTTGCATGAAGCATTCTATTGAATAATTTATAAAGTTAGTTTTTGACATTTGAGGGAAGTTTTTGAACTTTAACTCTTTTGAACAATCTCTATAACTTATATGAAAGGATATTCTTTAAAGATCTTTAGAGACACTATATATGTGTCTGAACACATGTTTAATATTTGTTTAAGATGGAATTCCTATTTTCTCAAAGATATTAATATGATTTTTGAACCTGTGTCATATTTTTGTATGGTCTCATGATATGTTGTATGTTTTATATTGGTAAATGATTTAATATGAAGGAAACTCTAGGCTTAATCAAAAAATATATTTCCAGCTACCTCCCATGGTTATCTCCCCTGATGTGCATGAATTGGATTTTTAGTTTGTACAAATTTATTTTAGTTTGATTGTGTTGGAAGTTATGAGCTTATTGAAACACTCAGGAATTGAAGTATTATACAAACTGGATATATATATTTTATGTATATGTGCTAGAATTCAGGTCAGATAGATATTGAGGTGTTGGATTGAATACGACTTATGTGTGTGGCCCTAGTGCTAGGGGGCATCTGAGATGTTATATGTGACATTATCTCTCATGAGCTGTCTCGATAAGTCTTGGTTTTCCAAATGAGTGTTTTTTTGTTGTAATTGCTCTGGGGGGGGGATCACCCCATTCCAGATTATTTGTGAAATGTGTTAAACTCAAATTTACAGTGTTTTCGTCTTGAATTTATCATGTCGATAATAAAAGACTTACTGCCCTGCCCAACCAAAGCATAAAAGTATTTCATTTGCCAAGTCCATCCATTTTCATTATGACCTAATGATGCTTTTGGCGTCTTGATTGAAATCATGGCATTGAGATCCCTAAAATAGATATTGGACTGCGCTAACTAAAAAGTAAGACAATATCTTCATACCAACAAGGTAAATTCAATGTGTATAATATCATCTTATAAAACGTGGTGTCATCCAGTATATTTTCATTTTCTGTATTTCTTTGTTTATATCAGGGGTGTGATTTGTATTAACATGTACCAATTGTAAATATTAAAGAGTTTTGACAGGTTATATTGCCTGTTATTACACTATGTGTTGTGTAAAGTCAGTTTTTCATTGGACGAAGGGGATGTTTATATAATTCATATATCATGCTGCAAATTTATAAGTATTTAGTTTGATATCAAAGAAAGTAATCGTACTGTATTATAAATTCTTTATATATAGACTTGACAAGTTATATGACTTAAATTGGTAACATAAGGTCATAAAATCTGTAATAAAATATAAGCGGTTGCAAGGTTAACTGGAGCCTCCAAGCCAACTGTTGATATATAGAAGATAAATAACATCTTAAAACTATTTAAAAGGAAATTGTAATGCAGCACTACTGACCACGGTTTTAATGTCCGTAATCTTCTATATGAGGTGCAAAAAAATCATACAAAAACTGTTTTCTACAATCGCACACATATAGCTCATTTCAAATATGTACCCCATTCCGAAATTTACAAAATGAGGTCTGCTATTTACATATATATTTTCAAAAGATATTTTGTAGCTCATTTTTGGCGAGAACATGGATTTTTTAGGTATTCGCGTTAAATTTTCTTTATTTGCTATTTAATATAAACTTTTTCAAACAATAGAATTGTCATACAGAATAAAAAATCAATTATCCGTTTTCTTAGTGCTACCTTCATTTGCTCTTGCATGTATAAATACAAACGACACACTGCCCAGATGAAAACCAGTGTTACAAACGTGAAGTTATTTGATATACATGTATGTATTATAAAATGAGTGATCCTTTATATTGTATCATATCGGAATTAAACTATAAATTTGTATTTGTTTCTTATTTTTCACAATACTATTTCACACAGCATTTCTACTTATTTGATACAGGCGTTTACGTATACTCAAAGATGCGAAAAAGAAGGGAGCGGTGGTCTCGTGGTTTAGGTGCCTTCCTCTCAACCCAGGGATCATGGGTTAATAAAAGTTGTAAGAACTTGTTCTCCAACTATTTTTAATTCAACATGTTTTAATTACGAAGAAAGAAGGGAAAACTTAAAAATATACTGTTTTACGAAGAAAGAAGGGAACACTTAAAAATATACTGTTTTACGAAGAAAGAAGGGAAAACTTAAAAATATACTGTTTTAGATCTCGATATTCATTATTCATGTTCCCATTTGTTCAGCACTTGTGCAAAAGGTTAATTTTTCCTTGTGACATGTTGGCAATTAATAAATCTTTTGTTTCTATCAGTCAATTGGTCTTCGTATTTCTGCACGGTAAAAGCCATTTTTCAGAACATCTATATATATAATTTAAAGGGACATTATGCCTCATAAATCTATTATTTTAGTTATTTAGAAATGTCAAACATGTGTTTAATAATGATTGAAAAATGGATTTATATCTTGTTTAATAACTGAAGAAAGTAAGTCTGAATGTGCAGTTATAGCAAATGAGAACACATTTAATAAAATTATTGACTTCCATACAAAACATAATTCACTATAATTACTCCATTGCCAACATTATATAAAGAAGCAATTTAAGATAGTTCATGCACAAGGGTATGTTTTTGGGAACTGTAACAAGAAACCAAAAATACATAAGCGGAAGTGTGTTTTTTTTTTATAAATAGAAATGATAGCATTTCCAATAAACTTAATAGTTCATTCAATTTGCACGAATGATGAAACGTGCTTGAGTGATTTTAGATATAAATCGATGATGATTTACGGTTAAAAGAAAATGACTTCCCCGAAAAAAAAAGGTTATACTGTATAAAGTATTGCAATGGTGCAATTGCACCTACTTGCCCTTTCCCGCCAATCTCCGGATAATGAATACCTGCCTAAGTGTTTCAGGTCATCAGTTAAGATACTAGTGACATGCTAAGACCGGACTTTTTATTTACAACTAATGATTAGAAACAAATTTTCATTTGTTATCAAACAAAGTTCATAAATGATAGTCTTTACATAGCAGTCAATGATGTTGATAAAATTGTAACGTCCCCGACTATCCACTCTCATTATTTTATAAACAGGTCACTAAGTGTATAAATTAGTTCAATAGTAAATCATTACTCTATATTTAAAACGAACACAATTCATTTCAAATAGAAATATTGGACTCTATTGACAAGTAATCTCTGCAGAAAGGTTCTTTAACATTAATTTACCGGTATTTGGAACTTACAATAAGGTCATTTTAAGTCCCAGTCGATATGAGATTCATTCAATGATGTTTATCTTCGCTGATGAATTTTCATTGCATGACCATCGTTTCTAATTAAGGACAATTCTTAAAAAAAACGCTTTTTCAAGGTGTTAAGTGGCGTGGCCAAACTATCAGCCCCTCAATTAAGAAAGAGAGATTTGAACCTTAATGACGTCATGGCCATGTTTTCTTATACCACACCAATACTTTTGGAAACAGATATGAGCCGCGTCACGACAAAACCAACATTGCGGGTTTGCGACCAGTATGGATCCAGACCAGCCTACGCATTCGTGCAGTCTTATCAGGATCCATGTTGTTCGCTTACAAACTATAAAAAGTATAGAAACCGATAGCGAACAGCATGGATCCTGATCAGACTGGTCTGGATCCATGCTAGTCGCAAACCCACTATGTTGGTTTTGTTGTGATGCGGCTCATATCATTTTTATACACACACTTTATGCACTTAAGTGGCTTTTTTTTTTTTTTTTTTTTTTGTTTTTTTTTTTTTTTTTTTTTTTTTTTTTTTTTTTTTTGGGGGGGGGGAGGGTAAATTATTCTTCCCAAGTCCTTAAGAAATGTTTTAACTGTTTAATGCTTTTACATGAGCGATTAATGTATAATAATTTGTGATAAAAGTAGCAGAACGCAAACAAAATACGTGTACTGTAGTATTTTTACTTCCATACAAAAGAACTGTACTTATTACCAATGGTATACACATATAAAAAGGGTTTAGGCAATTGGCCAATGAGTAACGTTTTGGATGCTATGAAAGTGTTTTTAAATTAAAAGTTTTGAGAAATAAAAAATATAAGCATTTTTGGACATAATTGGCTTTTATTTTAACAATGTATAAATGTGTTTTTTTTTTGTTGTTGTTTTTTTTTAATATTACAAATGGTATCTTTAGTGTTCCTGTGAACGATAATTTTAGGTGAGTGTAAATGAATGTTTAACGCTGTATCTCTTACACATGAATTTAATTTAACTTAACTTATTTTCGAATAACCTATTTATCAAACCCAGACGCTGATCATGACCAGCCACCGTGAAGACCAATAAACACTGTTTATATAAAAGATGTAACCTAATTTCAGATTAATATATTGGTCAGTGGTTCATCAGGCCTAGATACGTTGTGGTCAAAATATAGTGGTCAACAATAACTATATGTGGTACTTGTACTGATACGTTTGGATATATTTATTTACGTACAGATATACAAAAGTATAAATAAACAAAATATCATGTTCAAATATTTGAAGCATGCATTACTTAAATACTTTGTTTACTCTTAAATACGCTTCAAAAATGTGATAAATTTTAACAACCAAAACGACGAGTTAAAACACTAGAAAAAATATTCAACTGAACGTATATTTCGATATTAAAATCTATTTAGGTTCAGTTAAATATTTTTTTCTAGAATTGTCTCTGAAATTGATCGTTTTGGGTTTTACCTTGAAAAGATGTTTCTACAAAAAGTGCTTTTTTACAAAAGCAGAGACAAAAATATTATAATGGTGCAGAGAAATTTCTTTAAAAGATGCATAATTATTTAATACGTAGGGAATCATCATAACGAGTAAAAAACAAATTCATGACCCAAAAAAAGCTGGTTACCACCATGCTTTTTGAGTTATCCGCCCTTAGTGAATTTTATTTTTACTCTTTTATGTCACTTCCGATAGCTTAAGATAACTCAAAATCAAGCAAATCGATACCATTCTTTATTTCAAGTTATGTCTTGTCAATTTAATTTTGATCAATTTGTAAAGATTAGGAAAATTCTATGCAAGCGATATTATGCTATGCGTTAATAAGTAAACATACTGACTTTCTTTTTAAAAAGAGGACATAACTCAAATAAATTTCTATCATTTTCCATCAACAACTACATGTATTTAAAATAAAGTCTGTTGTATAGCAATTCAGCGAATTTTCCGTCGTGACAGGGAATAAGTAACAAATACAAATTTGAAATCAATAACGCGTTGATTGACACTGTTTTGGGTTATCTGCGCTTGAGAAAATGACAGTAAGGAGCAAAAAAGTCATTTTCAGGGGCAGGTAACTCAAAAAGGCGGATGATGACCACAAAGTTTTGCATCAAAATGTTCAATTACGATTTTTTCAATCGTACAAGGTTTAAGAAAACTAACTCTAGTTCATTTCCCATCTTTGCCTTTGTGAAAAGTTACACTATTTACATGCAGTCGGAATGTACGGGATAGAAAATACAAATGTATATACAATGTATAATGTCTTTGTATATAAAATACTATGAAAATAAACAATTTCTGAAACAATGTATCACCAAGAGATGCATATTGTCAATTAAAAGCCCATTATGTCTTCAGATGTTTATAATGTTATTTCTCAAAGTTTTGTGCGTCTAGTTACTGTTTTCAAAAAATAATGAGTGAACTTTATTTTGCTTCTGTTGCCATTTTAGCAATTAGTGCAGTTATAGTGATTCAATGATTTGTATGGAAGTCAAAATACTGCTTTGTTTACATTTTGTTACTTTTACGACACATTACTGCACGTTCATTGCTACTTTCGGCATATGATAAACATCTGACATTTTTTAATTATAAAACTCCTGTTTTCCTTTTTTAAATAAGGAAAAACATATTCATTTCTAATTCATACTGTGCCATGCCTACATGTACTTTGTACTTGTATAACTTTACTAATGAAAGATCAGGCATTGTCGTGAAAACAAAATGCACGTGATGATCCGATACTCGAATATTCCGTGCAGTTGATGGCGCTAAAAACTATCACTGATTAACTATCGAAAGTCAAGTTGTTTATCAGTGAATATTAATTATATCAGGTATGTACGATGACCCTAGTCGAATATCAACAAGACTGGAGAATGTCACACAGTTGCATTTTAACATGATTATTGGTATGTTAACAAAATGTTCCGAGCTTCGTGTCATCCAGAACCAGTTAATCCAGTCATAAAAGGAGATAAAAAAACAACAGAGAACATGCTTCGCACGTACAATCGTGGAGGGGACGGGCACCAAAAACCGACCCAGTTCAACGTGTCGACAACAGTGATGCTTTACATATACGGGAATTGATATAAATGACTAGGATATGTCCGATTTATATATCTTCCTAAATTTTAGGGTAAAAATCAAATTTATCCTTTCAAAATATACATTAGGATCATTGTAATAGCTATGTTTATATATGTTATGTATACTATGTATCAAAAGAGTTTCTGTATGAATGAAAAACAATAAAGTTACATGGACCCATAAAGTGCTGGCTTGTATAATCCAAGACTGGAATGTTACAATCATGCTCCTATTAAAGCTTTACTTAATAAGACTTTGGATTGAAAATGACAGCAACAATAATATCCGATGAGATGAGGCATTTGACGAAATATCTCTAAAAATAACAACAACAACAACCAAAACAACATACATCAGCAAGTCTCTTTTTTACTTCGTTGCTAGTGTAAACCAGAAAATATACAGATATGAAGTATGGGTAACGCTATCTACAGCCAAACGTAAAAAGAAACAACATTTTGAAACAATCTGACTAAAGTTCAATATCTTGCATGTTAATCCTAACCCTAATGCGTAGCGTTTATTAGGAACAGATTTTAATTATATTGCATTTTGAAATATTCCATCCGCAGTCATTTATAAGCAGACATAATAAACTTCAGATTGGAAAAAAAAGACAAAAATAGAAAGCAGTAAAATTAGGCAATTTTATGTTATATTTGCATTTGTAACTATTTAAATGAAGACCCACCATCAAAATACACTGTTATTACATACACATAAAGATAACTTGATTCAGTTTTTGACTTTCTTATACTCAAATGATAACAAAGTTGCTTCAACATATTTATATAACAGCGTATTTAACCTAAATGATAATTTTGATAATAATTTCTTTATCTATTTTATCTTTTTTATCAAACATAGATGAGCCTAAGACACTGATTTCAATCCGTGCTCGTCATTCTCGCCCAGTAGTAGCAGTAACCGCACCGTCTTGCACGGAATTCTCGTGCCGGATTTCTTTTTCGTCAGTTTTGTATTCTTTTTTTTCACGACAAGTGGATGGTGACAAACGGACACTTTTTAGCACTTCAAAAAAATATGCGTGAATAATTTGTGGGTAAAGGAACATTAAAGAAAATATTGCATAATGAATTCGTTGACTTTATATATATTTATTTGTGCCGCATTTACAATAGGTGAGTAATCGGTTTATTTCTAAATCTATTTTAAAAAGAAGAAAATCTTGTTTTCTGACCAATATCTTATTTATAAACGATTATAATCGAACCTTTAGAAAAATAAAAGGATGCATGTGCTATAATATATATAGTTTATAAAGTACGTGCCTCAAATAATTGAAAAGCAAAATTTCTGACCCTTGTTCGGATTTGAAATGAGAAAAAAAAAATCATGCATATTTTCGGACAAATACGACGAAATTGATTTATTGAGAATTCAAAAAAACAAAAATTTAAATGCTAGGACCGTGGACCTTGGATTGCCATGCAGTCATTAGCGCGACATACTTTTGACTGACAATGGACCAAAACATGTTTAATGACTCGTATCTCCAGTTCTGTTAAAACTATTATTAAATATTAGCATTTAAAAATGTGGAAGTTAGTGGATAACTGTGCGAAAATCATGTGCATTATCCAGATATTTCTGTCAGATAATTCACCATCGAAAGAAAACAAAAAGACCGCAAAAATGTTGATATTTTTGAACCGAACCGAAAGTCAAATTTGATAGTATATCATATTCACTTAATGTTCTAATAAATTTAATGTTTATGATTATATAATTATATAATTACATAAAAAACAAATCATGTTTTTACAATTAGTTCTTGTATTTCTGAACACATTACAGTGTGTTTATTCCTATTTTAAAATAAATTCAATAGCATGAAGGTAGCAAAACCTGGCTATCTTATTTAACTCGTTTTAGTATTGACAAACGTCTCCGAACCTAAGAGACACCCCTCGTAGTCTCAAGGTCACAGCAAATACATTTTCATCTTGCCCCGTTAGTTGACCATAATGTCCCTTACAAGCTATCGTCGACCATGTAAAGATTATTTCTGCAAAGTATGTTATATTGTTTGCATAATTACTTTAAAGGCACATTATGCCTTAGAAACAAATACATTACTTCTTTAGAAAGGGCAAACATGAATTGTATAATGTTTCAATAATGGTTTTAAAGAATGTTAGATATTATTAACCTGAAGAAATTGGCGATAAATTTGAAATCATTTGTCATAACGGTAGCAAAAAATGTAAACAAAGTAGTATTTTGAAATATTAACTGTACTTATTGCCAAAACGCAACAGATGAAAAAGATGATTCAAGTAATTGGCCAATGAGTAACCTTTTTGATATTATAAAAGTACACTAAAATTAAAAGAAAAAAAAACATTTGATAAATAAATATATGAAGGCATTTCTGAGGCAAAATTGGCCTTTAAACGTTGATAAAATTAGTTTCGTTTCCTTTTTCAAAAGTCCTGATGCTTTTCTGGCAAATTCAAATATTTTTCATAATTGTAACAGCAAACTTTCCATTTGTATATAAATTTACATCAGCATAGTAGCTATAGTATCGAGAACTTGAAAACAAATGTATAAATTTCATAGAGTTACAGTAATCCTAACTATGGAAGACTGATAGAGCTCAGTGGTGCAGATGTACTCTTTGATAACAACATTTCAAACAACGTTTTTAAAAACAATAACTCTAATACACGTATTTCTAGTATGTCAAAACATTTAAAGGCCCATTTAGCTTCAAAATGCATATATTTTTATTTCTCAAAAGCTTTTTATTTTGGGTGCCCAAAACATTACTCATTGGCCAATTGTCTGAACAATTTTTGCTTTTGTTACTTTTTGGCAATAAGTACAATTTAAATGATAAGGTATTTTGCATGGAAGTCAAAAATACTTTGTTTACAATGTGCTACTTTTAATACAAATAATTTCCAAGTCAGCACTACTTTTTCAAATAGAACATATCTAACATGCTCTGAAAGTTATGAAACTCTAGTTTGCTCTTTCTAAAGAAATATTTTTTTTAAGTTTTATGAGGAATAATGTGCCTTTAAAAACAAATACATATTGTAAAATAGTGCCGATTGAACATGGTCAAAATTCTTTCTTGCTTTTTCTCATTGATTTATAGTCTTTTCTTCAGCCAATTCTTTTGACGAATTAATGTTTATAATTTTCTTCACATTATTTTTGTACCCATCCCCCTTTGTAACATATCAGTAAGTGCAACAGTACAATTATACCCTGATCTTAGATATCGTGGGAAGATAACATAAATCCGTGCATTGTACAAGCGTCCCGTATAGGTCACTAAAATGATATCAACCAGTCCCGCTTTCCCATCTTAGGTTATATATATGTCTGTATTTATAAATTCACAATCTTAAACATGCAGTTATCAATATTTTGATATGTCTTCACCTTAACTGTCCCTGTTGTGGTTGGAGCATTGTGAATTTTGGATGGAGGGGTCTGTGACATAATCCAAATTTGTTTTACAACTTTCAGACAGAAGGCGAAAAATTAAACCTTTTTTATTTTTATCATCTCTATCAATCATCGAAGAAGTTTCATCTAATCAACAAACAACTCTAATGAATTCGGCCAACGATTATCGGATGATTATCTTTACAGACATAAATGTGACGGACTATGTCGAGTATTACAATACTGTACTTCAAAGTTTTCAAGTTTTTATTGATATCTCAAGGCCCAACTGGACATGTGAGAAAAGACCAATATAACAAAACATTACAAAACAAAGTAAAATGACATGCGGTAAAGAGAAACCATGGCAATATTATGAATATATGTACATATAAAAATACAATTGCCATTTTAGAATCGAAGAATGGGGTCTTTACATAATATTAAGAACAAAAATTACCCTTCTTATAGAAGATTGCTAGATTGAGAAAAACAGTTTTGCTTTCACTTACTTTGAAAATTTAACAATGTTAGGTTTCGGAAAAAACGAATTGCCTAAATATGTCCTTCTCAGGTGGTCTATCAAAAGGAACAGTTTTTTTATGTAATTCATCATCTAACTGATTACCATAACATATGCCACACACTTTTAGACTTCTATACAAATAGAATAATTTTCAAATCGCGTTTGGCTCTATGTCAGTTCCGTCGCGTCACATCCGCCAACAAATCTCTATTTTTGTGGATATAGCCATGAATTCAAATTGCATTCCTAATAAAAAAAATTTTTTTAAAAAAATCACAAATCCTTCTGAAATGAATGTTTAACGAATCCAAGTATTTTTAAGAGTACTTTTTGATAAAGTAGACAGATATTGAAATGTGCATAATTCCATTTAAAGTATGAAAAGGTTACATTTCATTTAAAAATGTTAAAGTAACAGAACCTTACAGTACTTGACTAAAAGTCCATTCCGGGATCAATGCCTCCTTAAAAATCATCATCGCTGAATATGTACAAGGTATGAAATAGTCTACTTTTATAATTGTATGACCATAAAAGAACACCATTTTTAAAGGCTTCAAGTAAATATAAGTAATCAACATTAACATAGAAGAGAGTCAACATCATTTATATCCATTCACTTCTTATATATTAATCTACTGTTTCAATTGGCATTTTAGGACTCATATATCTAAATTTGAAAAACAGTATTGCTAAATCTTTTATTAAAAATGTTTAGGTTTTTCCAAACTATATTCAGTTTTAAACATTCTGTAATTAAAACATCTAATGGATTCATACACAGAAGTTTACCAACACTGAATAAACTGATATTTCATTCTATAGTAGAAATAAATTTCTTATAATGAGGTACGGAATTGACTGTTTACAATAACTTAAGAACGGCCCTCTCAAAATTTAATAGCCAATGATACGAAATATCAGTAACTGAAATATACTGTAAAATATTCAGAGTTAATTTTAAAAGAGGCTTGTCACCAAACTGTTATATAAAGTCAGATAATTTAAGGGCTATTAATGTCTACAGCATTTCCTTCTTTTTCAGCCAATTACAAAATGATGGTGTTATAAAAATCGGTGTCCCGCCTATGTTTAATAGCAATGAGTCAGTCCGTTTACTTTTTAAGCATCAGTAGTTCAGTTACCTCACATTTTGAGCTGAAATTAAGACAATGATTCGGTCCCGTCATTTTTAAGCATCAATGAATAATTCCCCCCCCCCCCCCCCTTTTAGCATCATATATTCATTCCCCTTACTTTTAAGCATCAATGATTCATTCCCCTAACTACTGGCTTATTTATGTACCTCCCACTTTGTTACTTCAATATCAGTTTTTTAAAACCCTTCACTTATTTCTTGTATCAATTATTTGGCACTGCTCGTCACAAATTCACTCACCTTCTATATTTCTTTAGGTATCTTGCTTATTTTTAATACCGATAAATCAGTTTCGTCGCTTATTTTTAGTATCATTATTGTAATCTCCTGGTTTACATTAAGTATCAAGGATCGCCGATGATCACCCATTTTAAGCATTAATAAATTGTTATCACTCGCCCTATTTTTAGTATCAGCGCAAAAATGCCCAGCCGGTTGGTATGGTTATTCCTTAACGAGCAAGTGCTACCGGTTTGTCAGTAAAAATGCAATGACATGGGATGATGCTCGGGACTTCTGTAAGATACATGGAGGTGACATTCTGAGAGTAGATTCCGCAGCTGAACAGGTATTATAAAATGTTACAATTATTGCAAGGGTCGAAGAAAAAAGTATTTGCGACAAGAAAAAATATAAATCTTGAACCGTAACATATGTAACATATGTATGTTAAATATACAAAATATATCTGAATACGGCAATAAGGAATACAATAGGTAGCCGTGAACTATATGCATCCTTACTTTTGTAAATAATGTCAGTTTTTTAGGAATACTAGTATTTGATGTTTATTTTGAAAACATAATAAAGTTTCTATTGTACGTTTTCGCATGCTTATTTTGTTCTACGTCACACTATAAATGGCTCATTTCCAAACTGATTTTATTTATAAAATTCTAAACCCTTTAGTTTTTATGTCGATTCATTGGTTCAGGCAGCAAAATCTTTCATGCATATAATCAATATAATTACGAAGTTGAACAATGAACTCTTGCAATATATTTATTACAGAATTGGATATTCCGGCAACTAAGAAATATGCAAAATCATAGTCACGTGCCGCCATCTCATTGGTGGGTTGGAATGAACAATAGGGAATATTTGTCCAAGTGGGAATGGGCAGACGGTACCCCCGTTGGTCGCTTCATGTAAGATTTTAATTTATTTAACATATTTTTTATGTTGTTTAATTGTTCTAGACTGATTTGTTTAATAAATTATGAAAGTTAACGTTTAACTCTCATGTTTATTCATTAGGCTTTCAGATGAATATATATATATTTCATAGTTAAAGTAAATACAGCATATATGTACAATATACATTCATGGAAAGAATATTTCATTTTTACGTCATACTTTATTGATATCTTCTTCCAATCACGTGCTTCATGGAACACCTCGTTACTTTATCTCAATGTCTGTAACAATACGGAATATACCGAATATTCCAAACGGACGCCAAATGCATATAAAGTTAAGATTCATTTTACAGCCACTGGAAACCTGGCGAGCCAAATAACCACAATGGCAATGAGCGCTGCGGAGAAATATGGAATCCTAACCAGTTTAATGATGCCCAATGTTCTACAAAATACAAGTTCATATGCTGGAGGAATAGAGGTATTACATTGCTTTCCCCTTTTAATTTTTACTCGTCTTATTATCCCTTCAATACCCTTGTTTTAAAGTGCTTTTGGTACAATCCATTATTAGTTCCAACGAATCCAATATCAAAATAAGAACATATTTAAACGAATAAGTCATAAGTAGGCTCATCAGTGTGAACACTTGTAACATTTTTATTCACATATGTTTCTTTGAGTGCAGCACTTTAAATGTTGAAAATTGAGTACCTCTAAAGCCAGTGCTAGGGGGCGTGATGGATATTGCACTTTTTCATTGCATTTTTCACGACTTAATCAAAGAGAGCCTGCAATTTTCATGTAATTTTGTTGCGATTAATGCTTCCGATGGATTATAATAATAATAATTATTATTATTATTACCTTGTTTATCTATATATGTTATATTTATGTAATATTTTTGCTTATGAGAGGTTTTATAACATTATATTTTATCTTCCATGTAGGTATTCCACTCGTTTGTGATGCTGACAGGGGATGGCAGGCTTTAAATGGAGCGTGTTACAGGGTCTACAATCAGAGAATGAACTGGAAAGCTTCTCAGTAAGTTTGTATGAGTTGGTTACATGCTTTATAAAAAAAATTTAAAATTACCTTGAACATTGATCTTTTTTCAATTAAACAATTTTGTTAAGTGTTTGCATAAAAATTTGCACTTAGCAGTAAGTTTTAAAAAACTGGTTATACGTGTGATCAAAAGATTTTAAAATTGCCTTGAATTTTAACATTTTTGTTTATTGTTTGCGAGAAAATGTTGTACTATAATGAAAAGGTCATTTTCAAACCAATCAGGGTAACTTTTTTCTTACGTACATGCTGTATATAATCTTAATTGTTGCGGTTCTATTTGAATGCTTATTATAATAAAAAAAGTTCTGAAACATTGACCTGCAACATTGAAATGAATACAGAATAGTCCAACAAGCTCGACTAATAAAATACTGGACGCAGTAAGGAGGACAAAACTAGGAAAGAAAAACCAATGATGTATAATTATGTATTAAGTTATAGTAAAAAAATATCATTTGTTAACATAAATTCCAAGATCAAGGGTAATAATTTAGAAAAAGTCATGCTAGAGATATGAACCTTTCATACAACATGTGTGTAATGATAAGAAATATATATTTGAAGTTTGAAGTAGATACCTTAAAGAGTAAAGAAGTTATAATATTTCTTAAAGAAAATCCTAAGTTCAAAGAAAGATAAATTTGTAAATATTGCTTCAAGAGTTTCGAACATTGTCACTCACATAAAATGTAATTGATGATAAGGAATAAGTATTTGAAGTTTGAAGTAGATACCTTTAAAACTAAAAAAATTATAGTAAAAAACAACATTTTTCTAGTAAAAATATCTAAGTTTATGGAGAGATAATTCTTGCAATATTAGTGCTTGAGTTATGAACCTTGCCACATAAGATGTGGATGATGATAAGTTACATATATTTGAAGTATGAAGTTGATCCCTTTAGAAATAAATAAGTAACGGTAAAAAAATAGTATTTTTTAAAGAAAATTCTAAGTTCAAGGGGAGATAAATCTGAAAGTATTGGTGCTAGAGTTATGGACCTTGTCACATAAGATGGGGATGATGATAACGTACATATATTTGAAGTATGAGGTTGATCCCTTAAGAAATAAAGAAGTAACAGTAATATATAGTATTTTTTTAGGAAAATTCTAAGTTCAAGGGGAGATAAATCTGAAAATATTTGTGCTAGAGTTATGAACCTTGTCACATAAGATGTGGATGATGATAAGGTACATATATTTGAAGTATGAGGTTGATTCCTTAAGAAATAAAGAAGTAACAGTAAAAAATAGTATTTTTAAGGAAAATTCTAAGTTCAAGGGGAGATAAATCTGAAAATATTGGTGCTAGAGTTATGAACCTTGTCACATAAGATATGGTTGATGATAAGGAACATATATTTGAAGTTTGAAGTTGATACTTTAAGAAATGACAAAGTTATTGTGAAAAATATTTTACTGCACCAAAACTTTAATCTGAAATCTGGACGAAGACGTGGACGCCGACGCCGACGCCGGGGCGACTAGGACAGCTCTCCATATACCTTGTATAGTCGAGCTAAAAATGTTAACTATAATTCAAATACTACTACAAATATCACACAAACACGCATGCACAAACACACATACATAATTATGTAACTATAATATTGACATATATTATACAGACGACGATGTAGTCGGGATGGTGCTGCCCTGGTAACGGTGGACAACATGAATGATGAGATCAGTATGCACGATTTTGCTGTTTCCACCAGACAACCACTCTGGATAGGACTTTACACGCACAAGGTATGAAGAACTACGTCACAGATGATAGCACATGTTTTTTATGAAAGCACGTGTTATAAAGAACAGAATATAAGTTTTTATTTCGTAACGATTAAAGAACAGTATCTTGTTACACTACACATATCAATATAATAAAAAGCTATTAATAAAAGCACGTGACATTGCTGAAAACATGTGCATCTATGATAACACGTGTCGATTGCAGAAACACGTGGCATTGATAAAACACGTGTCATTTATATACATGTATGAACTCGTGGCATGTCACAGTTCAATTTAAGACATGGCTATACACATGCTAAATTTGAATTTCGAAATTCCAATCAAAATGTGTCTATATATGGCAGTATTCTGTTGTATTCGTATACCCATAACTAAAACTATGAACATTGTTTTATCAGAACAAAGGAATTGTCCAGGAATTTACTGTCCAAATGATTAACGGCATGTCATCTGGTATCATTTCTTTCTCATTTCGTTTATTATTTTCATACTTTTAAATATTTTTAAATGATTGTGTTTTGTATTTGAATACTTTGATCGACAGGTTGGATCAAAAGCTCAGTGGATGTGGACCAATGGTACGTCAATGACCACCACCTACTGGCACGGTACGCCGCATGTTGGCAGGTAGGACATTAGCAAACTTTGAATGTTTTGAAAATCAATTAACACTCCTGAGCTCTATTTAATATCAATTCTTGCAATTTTAAAATAGGCTTTATGATTTATTTCTTTTCTGCCCCTTCGGGATCATTGATTCCAGCACGTTCGTGTTGAAGATAAAAAACTGTCCAAGCCGGTGCTGAGGTGGGGTGTGGGTAGGTGCCATAAGAGATGTTGCACTTTTACGTAACTGGTATCTCTCATAAACAAACCGAGTCTGCAATTTCCATATGATATTGTCGTTTCATTGCTTTTGATTGATAACCCATTTCGAGATTCGTTTTAAATTAAGCTCTTTCCAGTTTTTCTTTCACTTGATCATATCTGTATATCATTATTTTTTATCATTTTTGTTATTTTATATAGTAACACAAATGTTGGAAAATAATCTGCTGGTGATAATGTAATACCCTTTCGAAAAGGCACAAATTTGAAAGACTGTGTTAATACTAGTATAGTAAAATCTCGTAATCTTTATGGCAGGATATAGACTGTAACTTGCAACAAGGGTTGGTTCCAAATAGCAATGTAAAATTTAGTTCTGTAATAAAATGCTGCCATTATCGTCTACATTTTGAAATGACCACTATTTTATAGATCACAACTGAACAGCACGTGCGCGGCAGTCTCAAACGCTTTTCCCTACCAAAGTTCCTGGGTGACGTCAGGATGCAACGTCAACAGACCTTTCGTCTGCAGGAAACCGGAAGGTAAAATATTTCAAAAAACCAAAATACATAATATGATAAACGTTGTTATTATATATAAACAAAAAAATGTTTAACAATAAAAATATATATATGTTATACATGTATATGATATATCAATTGTTACGCACATACGATGCTCTGTAAATATGTTGTGTATTTATATTTTTGCATGGGCTGGAGGCCAAAAAGCAAATAAATTATGTCATTGACATTGTCATGTTAAAGGTGTATGTTTGCCTGGTTGGACTGGACACCGCAGTAATTGTTGGCAATTTAACGCCCAGTACAAATTAAACTACAACGCTGCTAAAACCTTTTGTAGACAACAGGGCGCAACATTACTTAAAATAGGAAGGTACGACTACTTTCTAATTATATGGTCTAAAATGGTAAATTAGAGAATGCTCTTGATCAACAAACAATTTTTTAAATATATACCTATACCATCAGTTTAATTCCGAAAAATATTAGTGCTAACTAAATAATGATACAGTCACACCTGTAAACAAAAGCCACCTAAGAGATAGACAAATAATGGTCTTTATACACTTAGAGGTTACTTTATTTCATTTAATCAATGATTGCTTATCAAAAAGTGGTCTTTAACGCATGTTTGACTATATCTTAAAAATAATATATTTAAACGATTAATTACGCTTAATTTGACAAATAAAAACCAATGTTTGCTTGAGATTTTTTTTGAAAAAATTAATTTAGAATGATTGCATAAAGCATGACGCTTAATTTGACAAATAAAAACCAATGTTTGCTTGAGATTTTTTTTGAAAAATTTAATTAAGAATGATTGAATAAAGCATGTCATTCTTGTGTTACAGTGACAGCGATTAATTTTTCTTGATAAGCTATTTTGATGAACTTAAAGCAAACCAATGTTTGCTTGAATATTTTTTTTTTGGAATATACATGTAATTAAAAATGATTGAATATTCTTGTGTTACAGTGACAGCGATGAAATGTTCTTGATAAGCTATCTTGATGAACTAAGGGATAGTGGGGTAACCAATTTCTGGATTGGAGCTTCCGGTAAATCACTTTATATAATATATTATATTTTTGAAATAGATTTAAAAGTAATTTGTACATCTTGTACATGTGTTTTTCAAAAGGCGCGTCGTTGTGAAACAATTACAGGTCTTGCAGACATGTACATAAAGTGGATTGGTCTACGATGACCACACTTTTCATAATAAGTATTTGAAATAATGATAAACACACTAGAGATGTCATTTGTTGTCATTTGTATATGTTGATAAAATAGTTCTTATATGCTATATGTAATTTCGGAACATTTATCTCAAACTTACGAACAAAATCCATATATAATTATTGCATAGTTTGTTGTGATGTGTGATACTAAATACTATCAACATTAATTATTTATAGTATTACAGACTTTACATTATGGACCAAATCACTTTAATCAGTCCATTCCTTTTTGCAAAATAAAATGAAAGGATGAACAAAATGTCTTGGAAATTAATAATACACTTAGAACTACACTCATGCTTGTACCTTTTTGTGCACAAAATATGTACCTTATATCATTTTCATAGATAAAAGCCCAACAGACGGTCAATATAAATGGGCGGATGGGTCAGCTATAACGTACAAACATTGGGCAGACGCTCACAACACACCTGGCAATAACAAAAACAGAAAAGATTGTGTTTATGTGCGAACAAGTAAGTAAAATAACAATATTCTTGAAAGAGTTAACTAGACTTTGATTCGACTCAACATATGGGGTAATTGGAGGTTTTAAATTAAGAGAAACACTGAACACCATTGGGTACTGGCTACTCAATGGAGGAATAAAAATATATACATGTATTGGGTTCACTGATTTTTAATTTCCTGTTTTATTCACCAGGCGAATTCAATTGATTATATATTATTTAAGTATGATTTTATATATAATTTTAAAATCTGTACAGGCTGAAAAGCCAACAATGCAAATCATTACAGGTGTTAAAAGAACATACCGGTACTTTACTAAAATATTTATTTATTTTAATTTTTATGGCGATTCGGCACAGAAGAGGCAATGTAACGCCGTTTTGCTCAAATGTAATGCACAATGTAGATCTAGTCTTTTTTTTTATTATCTCACTATTTCTTTTACGACAACATAACAGTAAAATGCTATTTAAATTTTACATGGTATTTTTGTTTTTCTATAGACGACGGGGCTGGGCGATGGAGAAGAACAGTTAGCTGCCAGAGTGCCTGGCCGTTTATTTGTAAAATACCAATGGGTAAAAATGTTACACAGCCTGCAAGAACACCTAGACGTACGTTTATCTTTTATGCCTGTATAGCATTTGCTAGTTAAAAAGAACGAAATAAAGTTTTACTGTAGTTTTTTTTTAAATAAAGGTATTTGTACATTTCGAGCTCTCTGTTTGTGTGTGTTTTTTTTCTAAGAATTCAGAGATTTGAGCCGCGCCATGACAAAACCAACATATTGGGTTTGCGACCAGCATAGATCCGGACCAGCCTGCGCATCCGCGCAGTCTGATCAGGATGTTCGCTATCAGTTTCTCTACTTGTAATAGGGTTTGTAAGCGAACAGCATGGATCCTGATCAGACTGCGCGGTTGCGCAGGCTGGTCTGGATCCATGTTGGTCGCAACGCATTACGTTGGTTTTGTCGTGACGCGGCATATTTATTAATTCACATAACCATAAGCATGCCTTTATGCTTGTTAATTTCCAGCAAGGTTTGGATGTCCCGCCGGCTGGCAGCAGTTTCAACAATGGTGTTTCCATATAGGAGATAGGGCACTACAATATGCCCAGGCGAGGAATGCTTGCCAACAAACACAAGGAGCAGATCTGGCCAAGATAACTGCTGCAAACATGCAAGGATTTGTAAACGGTATAACAGTTGTTTATTTATCTAAACTGTGAAATAAGTATGAATGGTAAAAAGGACAAGGCAGGATTATATAACAGTTAAGCTTTGAAGGGGTTTATTCATTTATTTACGGCGGCAAATATGAAGATATTTTAGAGGTTTTTTATTAAGGTGTATTGCAATTGATATTACAGGCATAATATGGCAATTTAATTATTATAATTACATCGGCGCATTAATTGTAAGATATCACAAAATGTTATGGTAATTGATATAAAAGTTTGCAGGGACCTTTATTTATCTATTTTGTAGGCAAAGTTAAGGCAAATGTAAACTACTGGATTGGTTTGAATGATCGAGTAATGAACAATAATTATGTGTGGAATGACGAAACAGTAGCGGTAAGACCTATTTTTACACATGACACCTATTTTACACAGATTAATTACACCTCACAAAAGAAAACCATTTGAATAAAGTTACTTATTGTACAACCGTATCATAAAGTATTCAAGGTTTAGATTTCTTTAAAAATGTCTATAATTAATGCCGATTAAATCGTAGAATTAAATTGAATCATAAATTGCAAAATATTTTCACATTAATATTATACTTTTTGTCAAATATCTTTAGAGTCAGATAGAGTTTAAACATTAAGTATATTAACCAGTAAAAGAATGCGCTTGTAAATCCTGACATAATAACCGATTCTTCAAAAGTGAAGAAAAGTAGTCCCTTCCGAAAGAAATGTTTAATCCATTTTGATATAAAGATAAAACAATACCAGAATAATGACTAAAATAGATTTTAATTTACTTGTTACATGTTTTAGTTAAGTTTTCTGAATGAAAATATTGTCATATACGACTGTTCATGACGAAGTTTTTACTTCTTGATCGCTTTTTGTTTGTCTTTTCGTATAGAGTTGCTTCAGAAGTGGCGTCTCGGGTGTGAATTGATGTTGTATTCATACGCCAACTCTAGAAAAAAAAACTTGTTTATGGTGGTTTAATCGTCAAGCGAAAAGTGGGAAAAGACCCACCCAAAAGATTTCACCCCCCTAAACAAAACAATGCAAACCATTTCCTATAAAATATTGAATATGATTTTGTTTTTTTGACCCCCAGTCAATTTTCAAAATGGCTAAAGGCGAGCCCCAATAATTTTGGACATCGAGAAAATTGTGTTGTATTAAAGAGTGGACAATGGAATGATTTAAACTGTGCTGCAAGAACACAATATATCTGTTCAATGGCTGCAGGTAATCTCAATAAAAATAAAATGAGCCGCGTCACGACAAAACCAACATAATGCGTTTGCGACCAGCATGGATCCAGACCAGCCTGCGCATCCGCGCAGTCTGATCAGGATCTATGCTGTTCGCTATCAGTTTCTCTACTTGTTATAGGGTCGGTAAGCGAACAGCATGGATCCTGATCAGACTGCGCGGATGCGCAGGCTGGTCTGGATCCATGCTGGTCGCAAACCCATTATGTTGGTTTTGTCGTGACGCGGCTCAAATATGCCTTGTTTCATTAAAAAACATAGTACTCTATAATGTTTAATAGTGAATTTTGACACGATGTTTAATATTTTTAAAATAGACATTTAGAAAACAAATCTAAATAAATGTACAGTTGCGATAAGCTTATCTCCATCTGTGAGATATACAGAAATGCTTGACGTTTGATTTCCTTACAACCTTATGCATTATTTTCTGAATTCATTTCATTCTCCATCCATGCTCCACCCATATTTTCAACTGATGTCCCGCCCAAATTTTCAAATGATGAAAGTGATAAAGTAGATGTAGATTTGTTATTCCGTGTTTATTGCATAATTATTAACAATTTTTCAGGAAGTCCACTCGCCAGTTTGCCGCCAAGCACTCCTCAACGTGAGTTTGATTGTTGGTTGACTAATAATAGGCCTAATTATAATATTGTAATATAATGTCGTATATGCTTTTGAAATAACACGTTTTACCAGTCATGCTTTTCGCATTTCCACCAAGAAGTCTATAACCATGGTGAACATTGTATAAATTCTGACTCATCATCTGTTATAATCGAATGTTATTAGCCGTTGCCATTATTGTAGAGTCATGCCAGCCTGCACATCCGGGTAGACTGACCAGGGTCTATACAGTTGGTAGCTCAGTGTTTTTATTTCATTTATTCAAAGCAGGGCAAATTCATTACATAATTTAAGCATGTTACTGGTTAAAGACCTTTTGATATATACACGTGCCTCACAATCACATTTTATACTGTATATGGTACATCAAATTCTGCGCTCAGAAAGCCCATTTTTGGAGTGTTTCTTTTCCCTGTACGGTTTAAATTATTTGACATTTTTGAACCTTTATTTTGTCCTTACAATTATGATTGAATTGCATGTTTGAACTCTTTAAACTTTTAAATTTGTTTTTTTTGTTTATTGCTTTTTAAATTTTTTGTTTAATGCTGATTTGGGCGGTGAATGTGCCCTGATGGGGGTCAAACCCGTCACCCCGTTTTGTTCTGTTTGTTGATCAACCCCTTATTGGTTGATGACTAAAACCCGGTTTTGGTCTTTAAGGGCGACTTTTACCATTTTAAACAGTTTAGAAATAACTATTAGCAGGTATCTACAATTTCACCCCTTATTTTGCTATGTTATAATCGAGTAGTATCAAAACCCGGGGGATTTTGGGGAAAAAATGCAAACTAATTTGATGCATTAATCTAAATTTTTTTAAAACCTAAAAAAAAACTTCATTAAAAGGGAAAAAAGTAAAAATTGTAAAATTAATATCGTGACATTTGCGTGACATTTGCGTATAAACGTATTTCTAATGAAAAGCAATGGCATTGAAAAAACTGTTTATCTGCATTTTATTTCTTTAAGTTTAAAAAAATGTAGTCTATCAATAAAAGCGACCGATACGGTAAGTTCATTTTAGCCTTTAAGAATGAATTCTTTCAATGGACTTTGATATGTAGAATATGGCATGCGCTGTGAATTAGCTTTACATGTTTGTAGCAAAAAAATTCAAACTATGTTAATTCACTTATTAACTTTAATGCTGATTAAAAGTACCCTCTAGATATAAAGAATTTGCATACTTTTTTTCTTTTTATATATATAAATGGATTTTTTTTTTAATGCCCACTTCCCCCAATGAAATCTTTAAAGCCCTATTTTAAGCACCCCATCCCAACTATAGACTACGACCTATTTAGTAAAAATTATTTCCCAGTACGGCTAGTCTGGGTTTTGGGGAAGGGGGTTTAAATTTTAGAATAGTTTTAAACATATTTGTCACAATCCAGCTTACATAAATATGTATAAAGTAACACAACATGCATTTATTTTAGCTCGGACGAAATCTATGAATTCAATCGCTGTGTGGACAGGTGCTAACGACAGGGGTACAGAAGGGGGTTGGAAATGGGTCTATAACAAACCATTTGCTTTCTTTAACTGGGCACCAGGTAATTATACTTATTTTTATTTCTTTCCATATGTTTCACAGAAACAATATGTAGTATTTTCTGTAGAGTTCAGAAAGACGTAATGTTTCTATTCTATCACGTATACTGTATATGCTTAACGTTACTTATTCGTGTTGAATAGAACTAAATTACCTCTAAACCATATATATTACGTACAAAAATGCTTTGTGTATTATGTACAATAAATATGCTTTGCATATTATATACAATAAATGTGCTTTGTATATTAATTAACAATAAATACGTTTTGTATATTATGTACAATAAAAATGCTTTGTACATTGTATGTTATGTACAATAAAATAGTTTGAGATTGTTTTTTTTTTATTGATAAAGAGTAGTTGTTTGTGTTAGATAATGTTTTGGATTTAAACAGTATTTAAAAATGTGTGATGAAAATTTAAATTTGGGCAGGTGTGAGTGTTTTGCTTTATATTTTGGGGTCCCCCCTTAGTAACGCCTAGGTCAAGGCCGGCTGTGTTGCCATTTCACCCAGATTTGCATTAGGGGAGACGTTAGTTTGACAGAGAAATGGATATTTTTTGTGGAAAAAGTATGTCATCAGAAAAATTTTACGGAATTTATTAGTTTTTTTTCATTTTGATTAGCGCCCTTAAAGGATTTTGCAGGAAAATCTAGAAGTTGATTCACCAATAAATTCACCAGGTGCTAAAAGCATTTAAATGATGACCTTCAAACAAATCATGAATGGTCAGTTTTCAGAAGTGACACTGTATTCAGTAAATATTAAGCGTTATTTTTACTCGTAGATATGCAGTTCATATTATGTAAGTTATGCTCAACTTGTGTTGTCTATCATTTCAGGGAATGTTCCAAGGACAACAGTTCAAACAACACCAACTGTTAAGATACCTGGTAAGTGTCCTTTATGGCATGTTGATATCGGAAATGATACTTTAAGCTCTTTTGAATGTATCACCATAATTATTTTATAATTCTATGAATTAGTTTATCTTTTATAGCTTTTTGAAAAGTATACTATTAGTTATACAAGGTGCTGACGGGATATAAGGGAAAATATAGCCTTTATTAGATAAATATGACAAGTGGCTCGGAAGGCTATACTCACCCGTATATCCTGTCAGTACTTGAATAACGAATATATGATAACGGGAATTGTTATTGTCGTATTGACGACAAGTTCATAAAAAAAACCCATCAAACTTTCAAATAAGCGGGAATCAGCCGCAAGTATTCAACGGCTACGCTAACATGCTTCAAGTAAAATGTCGTCATTGCAGAATTATTGACATTTGAATTAAGAAATGTGCCATAAAGAACGAAACACAACTTAAAAACTGTTATGCACACACGAAATTAACTGTCTACGATGTAGAACTAGATTATTTTCTCCGGTTCTTCGCAGTATAAAACGGCGTGGTATGCAAAGTGTTTAAGCCAATCTGAAAATTATATTTGCATTATTATTTATAAAAAAAAACAAATGATACCGTTATCAAATATGTGGATATAAAAACGATGTGTTAAAAATTGTTTAACAGTTCACTGTTTATAATAAATACTCTGGGAGAATAAGATCATACTTAATAAGTCCTTCCTTACTTTGAACTTATATACGGGATTATTGTTTTTGTTTGTTTTCGGGTGGAGTTTTAAATGGGATTGTTGTTGTTATTTTTAATGTTATTGCTGTTGCTTCGTTTTCTCTACAAATATACTTTTATCATGAGAAACAGTAAGTCGTTAACAGTTAACATCAATTAACTATATTACTGATCAAAAAGACTTATATTGATATTTCTCGTACATCAACACAAAAATATATCTGTTCTTCTTAACTATCTTTTACCGGAAGTCATTTCTGTTACAGCCGGAATGGTTCTCGGTTGTAAACGCGGCTGGTTACCGTTTAGAAACAGCTGTTACAGGATTGTTAAACAGAGCGTGTCAAGAACCGCGGCACAGACCACTTGTGGTAGAATGGCATCCAAACTTGCCAGCATTGCTGATAGGAACGAAAACAACTTCATTGCTGGAAATTTACCTAAAGGTACTCTGGTTTTAATTAAGCAAAACCAACAATATTTTAATACACATATTAAAGAATTAGTCAGTAATAAACATGAAGAATTTATGCTCTTCAGAAAAGAAATGGTTGTGGTCATTTTACTGCAGTAAAGTTGAATATTAGACCTCTACTCAAAATACTGATCATGTTGTTGTTGCTGCTGCTGCTGCTGCTGATGATGATGGTGATGATTATGATGATGATAATGATGATGATGATGATTATTATTATTATTATTATTATTATTATTTTGGTGGTGATGTTGGTGATGGTATTGATGATGACGATGATGAAGAAGTTCGTGTTTTCGATGATAATGATGGTAATGAAGACGATTTTTTAATTAGATGATATTATGATGAAAAAGTAATGGGGACAAAAGATGCGATGGTGATGAGATGAAATTTATGAATTTAATTTTTTTTGTTTTTTAGCCACCCTATTGGGACGGTTATTGGATCGCCTTGAATGATATTCAGATAGACAATCGGTTCCAGTGGAGTGACGGAAGTGTAGTGACGTATACAAACTGGAACACAAATGAACCCAACAACTGGATGAACAGAAATGAGGACTGTGTAACCATGTTATTAAGCGTATGTTGGTTTTTATATTTATCTGGTCTAGCATTGTTTTATTATATAAATTGTATCCAATGAAGGGAATGGCAAGAAACTTTGTCATGGATGAAAATTGATCTATTATTATTAGACTTCAATATATCTACTATCTAAGGCTAGTCTTTGTTGAGGCGGCATGGCCGTGTTGTGAACGCGTCGAAATAGTAATTTTATGATCTCTAGCCTCGTAGGTTCAAATACTACGTCAAGTACAAGTCAGTAAGAAAGCTAACACTCATTGCTTAGTTCTTGTTGGTTCTATAAACGATTCGAGAGTGTCTCCATAAACTTACAGCTTCCTACACGAATAAATCGAACCAAGAACAAATCTATTCGAATTCTTCTTACTCTCGAAACAAGTATAACTTGAAATAATTGTTTGCATATGTTCTCTTGCATTGAACATTGAATGGTATACAAAATGTTTTGACAATGATATGTCTAGCTCAGTAAATCTATATGAATTGACAGAATGGTAAATGGAACGATGAGAGGTGTACTGATATCAGGCCGGGCTTCGTCTGCAAGACCCCAAAATCTGCAGTTTCAGCCACCCAGGCCCCTTACCATGACGGTTGCAATTGGGTAAGTTATAAAATATATTTTGTTTATATCTTGACTGAATGACGCACATCTTCCTTATTTGATAAATTTGCAGAGCCTCTTTGGTCAAGTGTTAATTTTGAACCAACTAGATGTTCTGAGCCGCTATACGTAAAAATACTGTTACACAACCTCCGTTCAACAACATTTTATTTGAAAGAATCACTGTTATGGTATATAATTAACTATTGATGTAGAGGCGTTTGTTGTTGTTTTTGTTTTTCCTCATTATGTATTTTTTTTTTCAATAAGTTAAACTATGCATGATACAAAGTAACTAGGATAGCGGTGGTCTAGTGGTTAGGTGTATGTCTCTCAACCCTGGGACCGTGGGTTCGAATCCTACTGGGAGACACGAACATATGGACACTAGGACTGGTTAATCCCAGGAGGCGGAATCAAAGTGTTTCAAATTAACTTCGAACTTTCGTCACAAACGAGCTTAAATGAGCATGTTTGAACAAAATGGAATATAATATAAGATACAAAACAATGTGTCTTCTTTAACAGAATGCGTATGGTGTTGGAGCAAAATGTTACAAACTTGTGAATTATGGTAAACCTATGTCCTGGAATGTGGCAAACTCGTACTGTAACCGAACATTTAAAGGACAGTTAGCGACCGTAAATGACAGGTAAAGTACACACTTTGAAGTATTCTATCAAACACTGTAAAAATGTTGTTGTTGTTTTTTATTAAAACATGCTCAGTAAAGTGTTAAAAAGGCAGTTAATTACATTTTGAAACTTCAACAGTGGAATTATCAAAATATATTGCTATAATGGGAAATGCGTGGAATGGAAAATTTAGCAGAATGTTATTACGTGGATATTGCTTTTTATTTGCTATCTGTAAAACATTGTTATACTAGTATATTTTTCGAAAGAAACGGGATTCGGAAATATTTTACAGGATTTTACAAGCGTTTTTGTCGAGCATGTTAGTGTGGAAATCCGGTTATTTCTGGATAGGAATGAGTGATACAGTTTCACCGGGGACTTACAAATGGTTGACTGGGGACTCGGTTAGATACACAAACTGGTACAGCACACACACAGGTGCGGTCATTTTTTACATATCATTAAACCTCATATATATCACTTGCCTCTCACCGATATGGGTTCGAATCCCGATAGGGACTTAGGATTCTTTCATATCAGAAAGCTTTCCAGCTTGTTAACGGAACGTCTGGTTCTACACAAATACCCATTTATACCTGAAATAATGCACGGAAGGGCATCTAGGTTCACCTTTCCCTAGTAAAGCTGGTAAAGCTATATATGATCTGTGCTGTGTTGGTGCGACGTTAACTACAACAAAAACCATTGTTAATAAGCTGATCAATTATTCAGAAGTAATAAAATTATAATATTTGCTAGATCAAGTGGTTATCTGATCAAGCACAATGCACAGAAACAGTATTGAAAAGGGTAAAAAAAAACATTTGGTGGTACCATGAAAAGGCCAAGAAATATCCTAATTTTAATAGTGCATAACAATAAGCTTTCCTTATACTGCATGTTCTCAGTATAATATATAACAAATTTGTTTAATTTTCTAGGAAATGAAAGATCCACTTGTGTTGCCATGGAGGCAACTCCACCAACAGGATTATGGGTAAACAGAAACTGTTCAACACCCGGTTACTCCATATGCGAATTTCCGAGGGCACACTATACACCGACGACCACACCCACCCCCTGGCCTAACGTCAATTGTCCTACAGGATGGTCACCAAGTCAGGGATTCTGTTACAAGGTAAAATCAATTGTATCTCAAATTGGATCTCAAGCATTCGGCTCGTTTGCCTGGTCATTTGAGATGCTAAACAATATATATCGTGAATCATTCCACTCCTTAAATAGCGAAAAGGGTTACAATCTTCGCATTTGTTTCCTAGCCTTCTTGCAGTGATCACAATGCATGTATAACCTTTGCAAATGAATTGCAGACGACACGTTCATTAGCGTCTTGTCAAGCGCCAATCTGTTTAACAGCTATTCCTTATTTATCTTTCTTTTAATTCCGAAAAAATTGGATTAAATTAAAAATTTAAGCAGACGACAAATTTGATGACAATTGTCCCGGGAGGCACATAGACAAAGAGGTCCTTTTTCGTCGAACATATATAACAATAAGCTACTTCGCTTCTGATCATTCGAAGGCGATTTTGTAGACATTGATATATCAGGTACACATGTTTTGGAATCGCGCAATATTCTCTGACTGATAGAATGTTATTGTTGTTTTTTGTCTTATCTAAAATCTTTTTCCACAAAAAATTTTATGTCTTTGTTTATATTAATGTTATCATTATCATTATTTATCATTACCATTTACTGCATGTTCAATGTACATGAAATTATGTTATCTTATTGTATATAGATTTCAAAATTACCAGTAACACTGCTCTTACATATAGAAATACATGTTACTTTAGGAATATTTTAAAGGGACTCCACTGGGGTTTTTTGAAATGATGGGACTGAAAATATTTTTCCAGATAAATGAACCATTTGATGTAGGTTTAGACCACTAATCTTTGTGCAAAATTTCAGATCATTCGTACACTTCGTTTTTCCAGAATTATTATTCAAATTGTAAAAAAAAATGATCCAAAATGAGAAGCGTTTAAACGCTTTTCACTCATATCGGGCTGAGAAAATTTCAAAGTATATTTCATACATGTAAGTATCATTGCATATATTTCTGTTTAAAGTGCCCCAGCTCATTTATGTAAGAAATTCAAATGTTATGTTTTTAGACTTTTAAAACTCAGTGAAGTCCCTTTAACTTAAATAATCCCGACATCTCTCAAGAGTCCTGTAATATTTACATGTACATGCTAAAGATCATGATCACATAAACCAAAGTACAGGAATGTAAAAGAAAACACGTTTAAATTGTGTCCTCCTTTTCAGGCGTTTGGTAATCAAAGCACTGTAAAGACCTGGATGGAAGCTGTCACATATTGTCAGACACTCGGTGGCAATTTGCCAAGTTTCCATATCAGCAACAATGATTCCTTATTAACAACTTTACTATCGTAAGTATAAAATAAAAGATAGCAATGGTTTATATTTGTGTTCGCCGATTAGTTTGAGCTTTAAATCGAAACGAAGTCATTTTATGTCCGATTCTTTTAACAAAGTAGTATTGCTAAAGACAATTGTTACATTGGACATTGTCATTTCGAGAACCAGTAATCTTTTGGCTGAGCTGAGAGATTAGCTCTTCAGTTTGCTTCGAACCATTTTAGACAATTATAGAACGTTTTATGTCGGTATATCATATCTTTCGTATTTTCGGTATTACGTAGAAAGATATTTTAATATATTTGATATTTCGCTGTAATTAAAGAATTGAAACATATTTGGATTGATAATATGAGAAACAAAAAGTTTGTCGCTATTTTCATTTTCGTATGTTTCACTGTAAAAATAATTTTCACTGCAGTGAATAACATTTTTCCATGTATTTTTCACTGTGTCTTGCCGAGTATTGCTTTCTTTTAAATTCTGCCTAGTACATCATAATTTACAAGGGAATTAATCTTTATAAATATGCCATATGACTTTGCAATGAAAAAGACTGTTTTAAAAATAATATAACAACAACATAATATCAAGTTCTTTCATATAAACATGAATTTATTTTCATCTGTGTTGGCCATCGAAACATACGCAAGTAATTGTGCATCGTGGCTACGCCACTCATGAAATATTTATTTTCTTATTACTCGATGAAAATAAATCATGTATTTATAGAAAAAACTTGAATATCCTCTATATATGTATTTATATATTTGATTTTACTTTCCCTCAGGGTTAATTTTTTCTTTTTTCTACAGAAATTATAAAAACACACCTTTCTGGATTGGACTTAATGATAGAGAAACAGAAAAAGGTTTGTGCTTTATGAATATATTTTACTTATGTTGATCATATTTTTAATAAAGGTAATAATAATTTAAATGTTAACCGAATGGGTCATCAGCCTTAAAAAATGAATCTATTAGATGTTGATTAACAGAAGCATGCTATAGTGCTAAATAAGAAATCAGTGGTAATAAAAGTTAAAAAAAAATGGTATTTTGAATCTCTTACAAAATACATGCGCACCATAACTGCACTTTTGCCAAAGAAGCAAAAGGCGTAAAAACTAATTCATCCACGTAAGTATAGGTATATTAAGACAAAAAAAAGTTTTTGAGAAATGAAGGTTATAGCATTTTAAGGTATAATGAGCATTTAAAGTTTAGCAGCCAATATCTTGGTCTGGGCATTCGGCTGGGCGTGTTGGCTTCTTACGTCAATACTGGTTGTATAAACAAGTTATTTTGTCATCGTTATGCAGGCAGAAAGCATAACAAACATAAAGTTATCATAGTAATAGTATGACACCAAATTTTCAATGTTAAGAAATGGCCATATAAGTTAAAATCGGTACGATCTTTACAGTTATAACAAGTAATATATACACTACTGATAAGCTAAAATAGTATTAAGCACTGAAGATCAATCCAACAATATTTCAAATTGTTATCAAAATGATCAAAAAGAATAAAACAATGTCAAAATATGTAACATCTATTCTACAGGCCATCAATGGAGTGATGGAAGTGCAGTTGACTACACAAACTGGAACCCTGGAGAACCGAACGATTTCCATGGTTACGAAGATTGTGTGGTCTACAACCCAGGTGCTGGGTGGAACGACCAGAACTGTTATATTGCTTCACGTTTCATCTGTGCTGTACCCAGAGGTGAACCTTGATTTTACGTTTGAAAGAAAAAATGTTAAAGATGTAAAGATGTAATTGATATAAGAAACACTATATCTAATATTCAGGAATGCTAGTGAAGAAATGTTTTTTGTTGTAACCCTAACTCTAAAACCATAAACCTGATTGAATCAAAAGTGATGACCCATTTACCACAAGTATAAACCAAGACCAGCCTGAAGATCAGTTGGTTGACTAGTTTTTGTATTTTAGTATTGAAATCCCTTAAAATTTTAACTGACTTACTCATTAGGTTAAGGGTTAAAAACAGTAATGTCGAATACTGTCATACATATTATTAGTAATAGAGCATTCCAAAATCTCTAATGGCCTGTGGATATTGTTGGCCTGTGTTTTAACATATTTTCTTGTATATGCAAACTTACCTTTTTATGCTTATCCTGCTTTTACTTTGTATTTTATGCATTTCATTTATATTTATTAAAGTTCATCTTTATTGCAGGAGTAAATATGGCCGCCGTAACGCCACCACCCACCGGAGTTCCTTGTAAGTGTACAATAAACTATATACATAATTGTGTATCTAAAAAATCTGATATTATGAAGTGGGTCATACCAAAGACTGTTGTTAAATGGCATTTATTGCTTCATTGCTCAGAGAGATATAGTTTTAGGCTCAACAAATTTGCTGACAGTTATACGTTAAATTTGGACACTATACTAAAGGCACATTATTCCTCATAGAAGAATATTTTTTGTATTTCTTTAGAAAAGGCAAATGTTATTTATATAACCATACAAAATGCTAAATCACTATATGTGTGCTTATTGCCAAATAGCAACAGAAGAAAAAGACGGTTTAGGTAAATGGGCAATGGGTAACTTTAACAGGTCGTAAAAAGACAAAAATCTTTTCTTTATTTTAAAAGAAATAAATTTGGGACGTAATTGGTCTTAAAACTTTAAAATGAACTATTCAAAATTCAAAGCAGGGGAAATCAATTACATAATTCATTAAAATTCAACAGGTTATTTTTTAATAAAGAGAGATAAATGTATAAATCCTTACCCTCTAGCTACCCAGTACTGCGGGGACACCTCCTGGGTCTTGTTTAACAACAATTGTTACCAAGTTAGTCCAGTCACGGGAGATAACTCGTCTTTATCATGGTATGATGCTAACACGTACTGCATGGGTCAACAATCAAATCTTGCCAGCATACACAGCCAAGACGAACATTCCTTCTTATTAACTATGGTAAGTTTATCTCATCGTCATTTGACAATAAACATGTGATTTTAAAAGCTCATGAAGCCTAAGAATTATTTTGCTGTAAAAAGGGCAACCATGCGCTTTATCAAGTTATTATTATGAATTCTGAATAGTTAACATGCATATATATTAGCAGACGACCTTTAATATTTGGTCATATGACCTGTCGAAATCTTCACAACAAAAATATATTTAAGAAAGAAGCGTTCATATTTACACAATATACATGTATAATGTCTCGCATTATGTAATTTCTTACCTCTTTATAACTGCAAGCCATTGGAAAAAAGAAACAAACGTTACAAAAGTAACAACGGAACAGCCATGAGGAATGATATAGAAAAAGTCACATACGTACATTTGTATAGAAAAATCTCTAATTATTGCAGATGACAAAAAGTCAAAGTAAATCATTCGCATACTGGCTTGGACTGAATTCCTTGAATGACAATGGTTTCAAGTAAGCAGTTCTTTACTTTTATACATCTATTTAAGTTAGCAATTCAAGTATATGAATAAATTTAAACTGCATTTTTTACAAAGAACTTTAAATGGAATTGTACGATGTCGTAAAATTGTGAGGTTAGTTATCAACTATTTTGTATCACTTTTCGGATAGAACTGGATATTAATTTCCTAGTCTGTCTCCAATAATGCCATTGTTTTGGCGCCAAATTGTCCTATGTAGCAGTAAGATGTGATTGTACTACCTGAATGTCCTGTCAAAGTGAACAGAGGTGTACAACATGGTTCAAATGACTGATAAACACCTATACTGTACACTAAAAAATCGCTTCGGCGTTTTTAAGTCAATATTCCCAGAGGTTTATGGTATGGGTTCAATTGACTGATACACAAATGTACTTTACACTAAAATAGTGCTTCCAACATTTTTGTAACAAAAATACAGTTGACAAACTTTGAATTCATTGATAATAATATGCATATTTTTAAAATCTTAGATGGACAGATCAAACTGCTGTTGATTTCGATTTTTGGAGTCCAAACGAGCCAAATAATTACTTTGGTAGTGAACAATGCGTCGAGATGATAAAATCATATGGTATTTCTTTTATCATAATAATTTATTATAGTGGACAAACTATTAGTTATTAATGTATTCCTGGCATAGAAAGTTTCGCGCTCATTTTTTCAGATAGATTTTAATATAATACACGACCATAATCCGACTATAGAGTAAATGTAGTGTACACTGAATGTTACTGAATAATGTAAACATATGTTCAGACTAAAATAAATGTTTTTAACACATACGTTTCGCAATTGATATTTTGTTGAGAAACCAAATGAGTACATACACAATTTACTGAACATACCATGGCATTGTTACAGCTGGTTCTTGAATTTGATCCTCTTCCCCCGTGGCACATCTCTCCCATTATGATAACGTTTCAGACGTGTGTCTAATGCACATTCTATTTCACTGTCTTTTCTTGAAGTGCCGGTATTTGTTTTGAAGCAGTTAGATATAGCTGGTTCACAAACCCCATTGTAAGGTACTTGTTGAACGCTTTCACATTTCTAACTGTCATTACCGTCAATGTTTTGACACTGTTTCTAATTAAATGATTTATAATAACTTATTTGACTGATATTTCAAGGATTGTGGAACGATGATCATTGTAGTCAAACATTACCTTTCATTTGTAAGAAGCCGAAAATTGGTGCCGCTGTTATTGCAACCCCAGCTCCTTACCCCTCCGGTGGTTGTGCACAGGGATTTACTCGAGCTCCCGGTGGACGTAAGTTGCTTGTTCTTTTTTATATTGAGTTTAGTAAATATATGAAGACGACATTCTCAGACAGTGCTTAGGTCATATTGTAAAACAAATAATTTATCTCACATTAAAATATAAAATATTTTCGGACTTTGCGAAAATTCATTTGATGTCAACACGTAAGATTCTATCCGTAAGTTTTACAGTTTTACTGCCAAAATTATGATAGAAATATACTGTATTTATATTAACAGGCAATAAATGTTTTTACATTGGTGGTGCCAATCCGAGTTCACGTTTGAATTACACGGCTGCCTACACATTGTGTAGAAGGTTCGGAACAGGTTATGATATTGCCAGTATAGAAGACATCTTTGAACAAGGTTCGTATCGTTGTAGACATACCAATATGGCTTGATATATGTATTAAATTTCGCAAGACTAAATGATTTGTATAACAATTGTCAAAACATAAAAAGCTACAGATTTGAATAGGATAATTGTCAAAACAAACGGATAAGTGGTGTTGAACTATCATTATTAACACATAAATCTGGTATGATTTAAGAGAGTACATGGCATAAATACATCATTGTTATAAGATGTCTATGAATAATTGATTTGCATGATAATTGTCAAGGCAGGTTCGTGGTAGACATACGTAAACAAGGGGCTTGAATTGTATGTCGGGTTCTAAATATTTGGAATTCCACTGTACAAGCTGTTACAAGCAGTTACTATATTAAAACGTATTTTCCAAGACATTTCTAAGAAATACACGAATGTACTAATACTTGAGAAGACTGTCGCTTGTTTTTCACTTTATCTATATAGAAAACATATATATGTATAAAATGACCAAAGTTAAGATAAATTATTTCTTTTCAACATCTACGTAAACTTATGATCATAAATGCCAAATAAATCAATATATTATTTAACCATTATCATATATACTATTTTGTAAGCAACAATAGCGACGTTTGTTAATATGTCATTTCAGAATTTTTACTCACCATGATAAAGGGAATATCGTACCCTCTCTGGATCGGTTTGAATGACCAACATGGGAACAACAAGTTTTATTGGCAGAATAGCGCCCCTGTAATGTTTACAAACTGGGACAGAGGGGAACCAACTAGCTCACACAATGGTTCTCCTCTGAAAAATACGGTATCAATGCTTATTTAATATTGATGCAATAATTTAGGCCTTTGTGACAGCAGTCTTTGCTTTAATTGAACAGATCAAGATCTTACAAGAACAAACTTTTCATCTTTGTTTTGTTCAGTTTTAAATAATTTTATTTACTCACTGTGCATATTTTCATTTCCATTTTGATTAAGCTCGAATTTTCTCATAATTTAATCATTTCATCACTTTGCTGTTTCTGTAATACCTTTCACTTTTTTTTAAATTAAATTTCTTCACTTGAATATTTATATTTTTGCAATCCATTCGGCACTTTTAAATGTAACATACTATAAAATTCGTCACCAGAATGTAGAATGTCGAAATTGATTTTTTTTGTCAGCTAGGATTTCATGACATAAAGACTAAAAAAAATCCTTTCTCTTGCAATATTAACTCTTAAATTATCTGTTTGTTTTAGCAAAATTGCGTGCTCATGCGCACAAACGCCGGGCATGAAGGACGATGGGCAGATGCTAATTGTTCACCAAAAATGGGATATATTTGTCAGTCTCGACAAGGTTTGTTTGGAGACTATAAATTTTCTGGTTCATTACATATTTATACAAAAATATAAGAACAACTAAGCGTGAGTGCCTATTTCTTTTGAGTATTTCTACGTATATACATGTATTACTAACAATATGCAATGTAATATTAATCTACAATGTATATTATTTTTATGATATATTTTTTTATTTTACAAAGAAGACACTCAGTTTTATTTTGGTAAATACTCTGCCTTTAGCTTTGAAATTTAAACATGAAATGAAAATGCAATATTATCACTATGATTATACATTATATTTTCATACATGCATTATATACATGTATATGCTATGAAACTTACCCAGAGACGTAACGTCAGTCTCGAGGTTATTAAACCTTTTCATGAGCTCTGCTTCAAATTCGATGATTTTCATTGGTCAGTGAACATTCTGTGCCAGTTTTTTTACCAATCAAATACATGAGCTCTGTTTTGAGCAAAGACAAATTATTTTGTAACCTAGATCCAAAAGTGGGTCCCGAGTTAGCGTAAATAATTAGATCTGTTTAAATAAAACCAATTACTATGTTTCAGATCCTAATCTACCAAAAATGGACCTACCAAAGGGTAACTGTAAAGCAGGATATTCGTTCTATATGGGAGGTTGCTACAAAGTCAGCACAGTTTGTGAGTTTTAAATTTTGAATTACCGTTCTATTTGACTATTCTAAAGAATAATCCTAATTCGCTATTTACGTTAAAATCACATTTGATCATTGATAAACAAGTACCAGTATTATGGGTTGGTATATCATATTTACCCAGAATCGAAGTAATGAAATCCATTCCAAAAGCTAAATGAATATTCTAATGAACTCTACATAAAGAATGTAAAGTACATGTCATTAATTATTGTAATCAAGGGGTGATGTCGAAATCTCTTTACGAAGGAATCTGTGGAAGTCCTTTATTTGAAGGTACCCAATGCAACTACTAAATAACTTTCCATGTACAGTTAAGTCCACTCATAATATGATCATAATTAAGATAATGGTTAGAATATAACACTTGCATCACAAAACCTAAATGTATTTGCCTCTACAGCAAAGACTTGGAATGACGCCCAAGCGGATTGCAAGGCCGATGGCGGGAATTTAGCGTCAGTTACCAGCGTTCAAGAATCAGCTTTCATTCATATCCTTGTCAACGGCAAATTCCAGTACTGGGTCGGATTATCGGATACTCAGGTAACGCTTCAATGCTCTTATATTATTTTTTTTATTCATTCTCAGTGCGTTATTATAAATTAACAAAAATGTATTATTATAATTGTCTAATGTGCAGATGAGCAGAGTTCTATAAAACTAGATAAAAACGTCGTTTCTTTATCAAAATTATTGTTCTTTAGCTGGTTAATGTACACCATTAACTTGTCTTTTCTTTATCAAAAAGCATATATAGTAAGAATTCAATGTTTCCTTGAAAAATAAAAAAAAAAACAGTCGTTTAATTCCTAATGTAGAGAGAAGGTGACTGTGGATTTGATGAGATCGTTCCTCTTGACTGAATAATATGACAAATAAGGAAAATATAGTCCCTGCACTATTTGAGTTTATTGTAGTGCATAGGTTTCGCATCCAAAATTATATAAAATGAAATTGAAATAAAAATTCAACAGAACTTGTTATAATTATTGATTCCGGCACAATTTTTTTCAGATACGAGGGCTTTATCAATGGGTAGACAACTGGCCGGTGTTCTACAGTAATTGGGGATGGAAAGAACCGTCCTACGGTAGAACAAATAGTACCGGGTGTGTCTTAGTGAACATGAGGGGTAAATGGAATGATACAGCCTGTACAAGAAAGGTTCACTACGTCTGTAAAATATCGACAGGTATAATATTATAAACATTATCATGTTCCTTGGATGTAGGTTTCAAGAATTTGCTTTGTACACATATTTTTATCCGAACATTAGGAGGACTAAACTAAACTTCTATCTAATGATTTGTATACACATTAAACACAAGATTACTTTTACTATTAAAAGAATCAATTTCTCTATAATTTATCTTTAATATGTTTTAAGCGTACAAGCAAGTCCAGCAGGCTAAGTTGTGCAGCTCGTTATACCCCTTATGTATTTTTATTGATTATAAAAACATTTGAATAGATTTTGACATAGATTTTATGAACAGATCTTGACATAGTTACACCCAATTCTTAACTCAACTTCTATTGTTTGCTTTAGTAACTTGGCACAAGCTAATGTCATTTTATTTATTTGAAAGTTGATCAGAAGATTTAAAATCTATTGGTACTATTACCTGTCCAATGTCTTTTTCTGTTCACCAGAGACGACTTTACTAATTATATTTATTTTATGGCAACAAAAGCTATTCCCTTTCCATCAAGGACATTGGTAAAGGAATGAATCGCATTCAGTGGTAGTTTTTGTTGTGACTGAACTGAACATATAAAATATTCCTTCCAATATCAGTAAACATGCTTAGAGATGTATTAGGTCCATTTGTGCTCCAAATTTCGGAAATGACATTTCATATGGTATTTGATGTTGCAAGTGGTGCAGTAATTACTTTTGATGATATATTTGCCTTGGGGGTATGCTCTAATATACCCAAGCACTGACATCAAAATTCAAATCCATTCTGCCTGCAATCTCTTAAATAAAACACAACATTTTTAAGATTTGTATATATTCTATTACGGTTGAAAAAAATAAAATGTGATACATTTTGAGTGAGTGCGACATCTAGGCATTAATGTCTGTGTTATTTTTCATTTTTATAAAGATTCTTTATGGTAAATTTCTATCGTAATTTATATCATTAAGCTTTTGAAAAAAGTATTATAATAATGTCAATTTGTCATGATATTTCTCTTGTTTTCAAATTCAGAGATAAAACAGCATCTCTTGCTTGAGCTCTCTGTCCATATGTTTTTACTCTTACAGTGTCTGCACCTAAACCAACAGCCATCTCAAACGGAAACTGCTCAGTAAAGAATGCAATTCCAAACCCACAAAACAACTTCTGCTACAGTGTTTACACTGTGAATGGTAGATCTTGGCCTGAAGCGAATTATCTTTGTCAAAACTCAGGACAACAACTTGTCTCACTACATTCTCAACCAGAATTAGATTTTGTTGTTCAGATCGTTAGACAGGCTAAATCGCCAAACCCTTCGTATAGACCAAATGTTTGGGTTGGTCTTCAGCAAGGTGGGAAAGGTAATTTATGCTTCTTATGCTGGCTATACCGCAACCAGTTCAGATACAGTCGTGCCTTCTAATCATGGTCTGCACTGTTCAATATTCTGTGTAACTGATTTTTAAATTTGCCCAAACTTAGTGAATAGTTTTGTCTAGACTGAAAGATGGGCAATACCATTTAAGATATTATATTTGTGGTATAGATTAAAGCTTTTTTATCTCTATGAGTATGTTTTACTCTTAATATTTACACATTACTCCCTATATTCTCTTTATAAAATCTAAGGTCGTCATGGTTCCTGAATAAAATAAGTAAGACACCAAATCGTTCTTTTGTAAAGTTTTTTTCCTTAATCCATATCCAGACTGTTCATAACTATATGTGCATCAAAAGTAAATACTTATTATTTTGCGGCAAAAGTTTACGTTTCTGTTTGTCTTGCTTATTGTGATATCAATTTCTTGAGGAACAAACATTTCATAGAAATTGCTTGTATACCAAATTTAAATTTCTTCTTGCTACATATCCATATCAAGAAAGATGTTTTAACTATTTCATTTCTATGTTTTACACAAAACAAAGGTGCTTACACTTGGAGTGATGGAACTACTGTGAATTTCATGAAATGGAAAGTAGGTGAGCCTAGTAACATTGGAACACATGGTCAGCTAGAACAGTGTGTCGAGCTTGATAGAGACACCGCTACCTATAACGATATCAGCTGCTTTACTAATAAAGGATACGTTTGTAAAAGTCCTAAAGGTATGTAAAATATTTCAAACGAAGTCCTAAAGGTATGTAAAATATTCAAAGAAAAGTCCTAAAGGTATGTAAAATATTCTAAGCAAAGTCCTAAAGGTATGTAAAATATCCAAAGCAAAGTCCTAAAGGTATGTAAAATATTTCAAACGAAGTCCTAAAGGTATGTAAAATATTTCAAAGCAAAGTCCTAAAGGTATGTAAAATATTTCAAACGAAGTCCTAAAGGTATGTAAAATATTTTAAAGCAAAGTCCTAAAGGTATGTAAAATATTTCAAACGAAGTCCTAAACGTATGTAAAATATTTTAAGCAAAGTCCTAAAGGTATGTAAAATATTTCAAACGAAGTCCTAAACGTATTGCACAGTCAAATTATTAACAGAGATCCTTTTTCAGCTTACTAAATAAGTGCTTCTTCAATAAATGGTACCTAAATCATAAACGTCTATTGAACAATCATAATTTATAAAACGGTTTGACATTGAAATCCATTGAATATATTTAATGTTTCTAAATATTCATAAAATGATTTTTTAAAACATTTCTTTTTTGATTACTTTATATTCACCAGCTCTTATCTGTATAGCATAAATCATGAAGTCGCTCATTATCTACATAAGGTTATATAGATTTGTCTTACAATTTATAGAATAACTATGGATTAAACATTTTATGAGTCAACCACATTTTCAATGAGCGATGTTTTTGATGATAATATACCTACTAACTATGACTATATCTATTTCAGTAATGCCAACAAACGCTCCATTTATACCCGGATCCGGAGGTCCCGGGGTCCCTACTGGACAAAACGGCTTGCCGATATATGTGGTAAAATATTTATTTCTGTATCTGAATAACACCATTTAAAATTATACTGAGTGGCTTACAATATAGATTAATTATTTCAGTTATAAAGTATAACGTAACTAAACGATTAAAGCAAATCTGACTGTGGCTCAAATTGACTTATGGTGATCTATGAAGTAAAACATTCATATTAAACGCTTTCATGCACGTACGTCTAACATAATCTATGGTACATGTGAAATCTTGTCGATTCGCCGTTTTCCGATTCATTATTGTTTACGGAAAATGATGGAGAGAGCAGCCAGGATAAGAGTTTTTCTGAGCTGAAGATGTATAAAATAATCTAAATACAAGACGTAGAAGAAATGTGAAAGAAGGGATTAATTTGATGTCTAACAAGTTCAATTTAAATCTTAAATAGAATATTCGTTGTGGTTTTTACTCACGATAAAGTCATCTCCTTTTAATTACAATCTATGTTTTGATAGACATTTATTAATAAATCGTTAATTAATCACGAATGTAATTTATCCTATTTTTTTCAGGCATCAACAGGATCAGGAGGGATACTTGTAGGCCAGGGTTCTTCCTTGTTACCTTCTTTAACAAACGCTCAAGGTCAACCCGTGTCACCAAACGCGCTAGGACAATCCGGGAATACAAATGTCCAAAGTGAGTTATTTACTTTAAATGTACGCTTCTGTATTACTGTAATGTCACGGTCCGGGGAGGTATTATGTGCTGATCTGGAACGCGTCTTGCATTCAAATTTATTTCTTCTACAAAATGTCCATTATTTTACTCACTTTGTCTATAATCAGCAAGCATATAGACATCTTTTTCTTTATTTACGGAAGCTCTATGACAATTGATTCAAAAACCGCTTCAACGTACTTGTCATTATGCTTTCTATGTTAAAGACAAGTCGATAGTTCTGTCGTTAATGCTTTTATTTCCTACTATTTATACTTTGGTTTATGTTACATGTAGTTTGAATACAATTCCACTTCTCTTGAGTATCATCATAAATTTAAATTCACCTTTTCCGTCCACAGCAAAAAACTCTACACTTGGTTTAAGTAACGGTGGTATTGCTGGAATTGTGATAGCATGTGTGCTGATATTACTCATAGCTGCGTTCATGCTTGTGTATCTGAAGAGGATGGGAAAAATCAAACCACCTGTGCTAGGCCCTGATACATCTCTAGGATTTGAAAACGCTACATACAGTAGATCAAGCGATAAAATTCAACTGGACTCGGATGCATAGACCGACCTTGTTGAACTCAACTCAATACAACTGATTACAAAATCAGTATCTATTTATTGTACGATTTTGGCCTGGGCAACATATTGAGGAAAACAGTATACCTACGTTTATAGAGACAGCACCATGTGTTCCAAATAGAGTATATATGTGTCAGGTGCATTTTTATACATTCATGTGCAATATCACGATATCACACAAAAACTTAGATGATTTCATATTTTCGGTGTTTAATGCATTTATACAATACTCATATATTTATGTTAACCTTTACTTTGCTGGTCCAGGACATAAAAGAAACATTTGCCACCAGTATAGAGCAATGCATGCATGCTCGTCTTTGCAAAATGACCATGCTTTATACTGATTGGTAACTTCATTTTTGTATTTTGGCATTGAAATCCCTTACATTTTGAATGGACTGTCCCCAAATTCAAACATGGGCGAGTCCATTTAAGAAATGCAACAGGTTTTGGATTAACATTCTCATGTACATTATTAATATTCCAGTTATTCATCATATTTGTATATCATTAATATAACATTTCTTAGTCCGACCAACAAAGAACTAATGCTCTGGTAGGACATTTTGTTTAACTTTATTGGTCAAATTGTCTGTAAATGGCATAGCTATTGTAATCGTGTGAAATAAATGTAAAAAGTAATATTCTTATGTGTAGTTGAATTTGGCATTTATATATGATTATAAGATATTTGCATCTTCAGTATCTTACGGACTAGCATTATTTTGTCGTATAAGTATTAGCTTATTTGTCCATAAAACTTAACAGTTAGTTAAAACAGGAAATACAGTAATATTTTCTTCTTAAAAATTTATTAATTGGACGCTTAACATACAATACACAGTATATGATAAGAACGATATAATTTGACACTAGAAAGCATGTGTAAGAATATGTACATTTTAATGTTCTAAAATTGATTTGTTTTAAAGAAACAAAACAACACCACAAAAATATGTTAAATAATTTCAAAATGTGTAATACCCAAACTCATATCAGTTTAAAAACATAAATAGTTTTGAAACCGGTATGGTCATAATTTTTGCTTTTCATAGTTCTTTATATTTTTTTTTTTTAATTGAAACATTTTCAGAGAACTATCACCGGTAGAACAACATACGTATAAAACAAGTACATTTATAAACAACAAACAGATAAACAAAAACAATTTCAGTTTCAGAATATAGCTACAATCCTAATCTTCAAAGAAATTGTACAAACCGATTAAGTGAGTTTTAAGTACAAAGGTATGATATAGTAGTTGGGTGAATCTTCAGTACTAAGGTATGGCAAAATGGTTACGTGAATGCTAAGTACAATGGCATGGTATAATGCTAACTAAAATGCTTAGTGTAACAGTATGGTTCGCTGTTTTATTTTCGAAGTGAGAAAAGATAATATAGTTATTGAAGGTGAAGGTTTCAAAACTTTTCCTCAGGAATAATTTCACTTCCATCACTTTGGTGGGCTCCTTCCCCTACTTGTCTTTCACCTTCATACATCCAGTCAGACCCCATACTGGCAGTCAAGCCATTCGGAGTCAGGTATGTACTATTCAAGCCATGTGGAGTCAGGTATGTACTATCTAAAACAGATAAATGAAAAAAGGTGTTACATTTTACTGTTACATGTTCAAGAATCGCGAAGAAATATGTTCAGATATATGTACTGTAAGACATTTCTAATTATTTTAATACAACAGCGCAAATGACTGACGATCTATGCATGTACAGCTGTACTGTTGGCTTTATGTATGTGTATTCTAAATTCAAAGAAAATGGAATTGCTTATGGTTATTTGATATTGGCAATGCTATTACAAATACAATTTATAACATCAACCAATACTTTGCTAAAAATAGCCAGAACAGTTTTAGAAATTGAATATAAATTTTTTAGGATCTCGCCATGTATATCTTTGTAATGAACATGAAACAATAACTTGTAAAATTATTCTGATTTACATGATAAATAATATTTTGTTTAACTGCACAGCAAATTAAAGCTAACAAGAACACCTCTTGCCATATTTTAAGAATGTGTAACCCGTGAATTTGTTTACAAATGGTTATATGAAAAACTTAATCAAACTAATGTTCAACTTCATTAATCACACATCCTTGAAAACCTCCTGAAAAATCAAGTCCCAAAGTAAAGAAAAGGTAAAGAAAACAGTTGAAAACATGATACGAATGCAAAATCCGAGACCAGTTATCTTACCCAAAAATCAACAGTCAATTACATTCAAGCATTAACTCACCATAGAGAAGAAAGTTGAATTGAGGATTCTATAAGATTGCAATCGGGTAACAATGTAATAACTATTGTCATAAAAACATCCCTTCTTAACAAAAATATTCTTGTGTGCAGGTGTACATTAATGGAAACGAAGACATGTGTTTTTATGCAGAAAAGGCGTTTGTACACTTTTCACGTGTACTAACGTCAGCAGGAGTTCCAGCACTAGCCTTCATTTAATCCCTCGCTCTGCGGGATTTAAATGTGTACTCTCGCTACTCGGACAATAATGCATGCGGCAATAGTATTAACCTCTAATGTTCTATTAATTAAATATTTAAAATTTGAATGTTCGACTTAAAGGTTTGCATGTTTATTCAGTTGTGCTCTGTTTAATACAGCTTAACATTATTTAATCCAGTACTAACATCTTGTAAATTTAGTGCTTATGACTGAATGCTACTACAAGCAAGACAGATGTGGCACTCTATTACGAACAGACACAATTAAAGCGAGTCTTCGTTTTTCATTTTTCAGCGTCTTTATTTGATATAAAATAATATACTGTAAAGTTTTGGTTTTTAAATTAATAATTCAATAGGCCAGCTTGATATAAATTTATTTTATTGGATCTTACCTCTTGGTTGTTTGTTTTTGCGGAATTTCAAAATAATAACTACAATTAAAACTATGATTATGACGCCGCACACTGCAATAATAATGCCGAGAATAAGTGTCAAATAGGATTCCCTGAAACAAAAATTAAGAGTGATCCAGAACATTCATACTCCAAATACAAATAATTATATTTCAAAAGAAATTGCAGAAAGCAAAAGTGGGTTGAATTTTCTACAATCAATTTTTTTTATCAATTCTAACAGTGTTTTTCAACATTAAAAAACTTAAAATACAACTACATGTCTAAAGATGAGGTAACCAATTGTCTTTCTACTTCATTCGGGAGATAACCTTCATTTATATCAATTGTTTCATAAGATTTTAAATATGACTCTTAACTTCTAAAGAAATAAAATACATATGTCAATTAGTGAATTATTTCTTTTTGAATATATTTAAGATTTCTTTAAAAGCAGTCTGCCTCAGAATTCATGATAATTTTCATGAAAAATTAAAAAAATGTATGAAAAGGAAAGTAAACAAAGAAAGTAATTTACACATTGCAAAACGGCGCTTACAATATACTTAAATTGCCACATAAGAGGTCGAAATATATATATGCTTTTAACAGGTAACATATAAATGTTTTTTTGTTGTTTTTTTTTTAAAAAAAACACTAAAAGATATGTTCTCTTTTTGTATCATTATTACAACAAAATATTGTCTAAAATGTTTTCTAAAAAATATTCAATTGTTATACCCAGTGTTCAAAGTATAAAAAGGAAAATTGGTAATTGTTGGTAAATATCTATCAATTTTAATTCAGTTTTACATTTAAAATTGTCAATGTCTCAATTCTAAAAATTAAAGATGCATTACGGTGGAGAAACTGTAACAGGCCTAGGTCCAGGATCAGGTTGACAGGGCTTGCATGCTTGTTCATTGGGGCACGAAGACACAATCGTAGCATCGGTCGGATATTCAACATTATCCTTCTCGAATACCAGGCCTCCGTTATAAGAGCCAACCTAAAGCAAAGCAAGAATTTCACAATTTTATTAATATTATTATTTGTTTAACGCCGAATTTAACATATTGTTTCGTTTATATCTCGGCGAATGAGAAATTATATATGCCTAGGTTTGAACGGCAATTAGAGAAAAGTTAGGAAGAATTAATTTACAAAAGTAGAAATGATAAAATGTTTATCGTGCAAAGACAACTGTTACAAAAACAGTTGAATGTTAACGAAATATATTCAACGTTAAGTATAGTTTGATGAACTCATTGAAAGAGAAATTTTTAAAGTTGTACCAAAGTTATTTTCTTTGTATCAAAATTATCCAAACAAAGTTATGACATATTTAAATACAACTGTACATTGTATGGTGTAGTTAGATTTGAGTGTGTAAAAATTTACTAAGTCAATGAAATTAAGACATTACTGTCTACAAACTATTAAACTTAAGACATCAATGTCTAACCAACTATTCAAACAAGTTGCATACATATTCGACAATCGTGACAGCAAACAAATAAAACAAATCGCATTCATATTAGACATCACAGTTTACCGAACTCTTCAAATAAGTCGCATTTTTATTCGGAAATCCTGACAACAAACTTATAAAACAAGCTGCACAACAAAACAAGTTCCATACTTATTCGACATACTTGTAAAACCAACTTTTCAAAAAAGTTGCATATTTATTTGTGGTTACTGTGTTAGCAACTATTCAAACAAGTCGCATATATATTCGACATATCTGTCAAACCAACTTTTCAAACAAGTTGTATACTAATTCGACTTGTGTCCCCTTATATACAATGTAATTGTCTTTTACCGGAGTGTATGTCATCGATTGTTTATCCGCTGTGGTTTTAATATTGTAGACTTTATATCCCATAAGACCGTCTCCATTTTTGTCATAAATCTAAAAATGTATGAGATGTGTGCTGAAGATAGTAAAGTTTCCAAGTTTGATGTATGTTACATGTCCATTTTTATGCCAAATTGAAAATAAAAAACACAATATCATATTCAGAAGAAACATTATTATTACTATTTTTATCATTATTATTAAAATTTAATTAGATAATGCATGTATTGATACGGTTGATAATGATAAAAACTAAAAAGGAAAGAAAGAAAGAAAAAAAAACAAAGAAAGAAACAAAGGGCATTCTGAGAAAATGGGGAACAAAAAGAAAAAGACGATAATACTAGTGAGAATGAAGCATGAATAAAGGATCAAAGGGAACAATAAAAAAAGTGTAGAAAAATAAAATGGGAAATTAATGAGGAGAATAAGAAATATAAAAAGACGAATCAGAAACCGAAAGAAACAGAAGCTTGCTGAAAAATTTGTTATTTAATCCTTCTAAAAATATATTGTTAAAGTTGACAACAATTGTATGCTTTTACCGCCGAGAAGTCCTAGCAAGCTCTAAATGGACAATCCTATTCTAAAGGAAAAGTTTAAGAAATAAAACACCAAATGTCATTTTATTTTGGTTACCAAAATATCTCCAGATCCATATATGTTCATTCTGACTTGTTTCATTACTTCAACAAAATCTTCGGGATGGTTGACGAAATCCTCACATAGTGTTTTGCTTGAAGACTTTCCACATTTCTTATCATAAAAGTTGGCAGCTCCTTTAAAATGGTATAGATTTTATGACAATATATTAACCATTACCAAGCTAAAACATTTTGAAAGGACTTGCCCATCACACAAAAACAATCATCATTTTTGGTGAAAATTTCTTCCAAATTTGTACTAAATAGCAAACAGTGCATACCATGATGAATCTGCGTGGATCTGTGCTGGCTGAACTTGGTCGTCACTGATCACACTGGTAGAACCGCAGGTGTAGGTCATACGTTATACAATAGCAACATGATTATACAGTAATACTGTATGCCAAGTGAAAAGACATACAATCCTATACAAAATAACATTTCTGTCATCTTCTACTAATATTCAAAAATCTGTAAACAAAGTGATCCCTTGGAACCAATAATCATAACAAAATTACAAGAGAATTACAGACTCGGTTTGATTGAGACTGTACATGAGGGATTATGAATACGTGCAACATCCCTCACGCTCCATAGCATCGGCTTAAGCGGGTTTCAATTCTGAACACTTAATAAAATCCTTATTTGTTACTGAAAACTCTGACGTATGAGATACATTACAATAGACGCCTTGTAAATACATGTCGTGTCTAAAAAATATCACTTTTAACAGAGTAATGGAGATACTGGTTCAAGACTTGCTGATTTCGAAGACGATTAAGTGTAAGTAAAATGCTATGTTGTATCTTAACATTATATATTATATTCTTTGATAATGTTGTGTTTTAAATACGTTTTTAAATCTCTAATATAATACGCTTGATACAGAGTTCTAGATAAGTTGATAATATTAAACTTTAAACGAACAAAAAGACAAGAAAGTCAAGAGTGATAAATCTTGTTAGTATTAACTCTTAACCCGCAAAATATCTTAATTGATCTGTCTATCTTTCAATCTGGACGAAACCACTTTTCATTTTAGCAGAATTTCAAATTGTATTTGACTGTATGCACTGATTGAAATGCGAACAGCGTAAACCATGATAAAACGACACGGATATTCCGGTTTATCTTGGAATGGGTAGATTTGTAGCCGTCAGAATGGTAAGGGATATTAAAACATTCGTTGATATATTCATTTAAGGCAAACTATCGAATGTTTCCCATATTGCAGTAAGAAATAAAACACAATATCCTTTTAAACATTATCAAGATGAAAAACATTTTAAGATACCTTTTAAAAACGAGATCATGGTGTTGAAGACAAAAATGCACCAAGGGTCCGATTCAAAATCAACATCTGAGATTGGTAAATTTTCTTCCGTGCATTTCGCTTCATACTTTTTATTAAAGCTCCAGTCAAAATGGCACTTCTGTCTGTTTTGGATGTATTCTTCAAGCCATGGATTTGTCATGTTGAATGTTGGAATTTGATCTGTTAATCAAAGCAAAAGATATTTTTTTCAGAATTTATTTGCTGATCATATAGTATATATTGAAAAATCAAACCAATGATCACTTATATTTCACTGTTTAATTGACCCTTGATTTGGTCGTTTTTGGGGTTCTTTTGATTTTTTTTTTTGCTGTTTTTTTTTCATTCACATAAAATGAAAAGCTTTTGAAAGCCAAACTATTATTACTGTAAGCAATTTTTCATACCTTTAAGAGCTTTTGCAGATATCTGGGATGGTAGGAAACTGACCGGAATATGCTTAATAATAGTGAATTTAAATGCTATATCCCTACTCAAGTATAGCTTTTGCAATTGATTTAACTTAGTAAATGGCATTTATCATTACCGCAAGAATTCCTACAGTCCTAACAGTGGTAACACTTAGAAAGTCAATCTCGACATAATAAACATATTTACGTTTCAGAAATTCTTCTAAATAAGTATTTTTATCCATTTCAACTGCAACGGTTATTGATCCTTTGTTCTTTTTATAGTCTAATATCTCTGAGTTCTTTCCCCAAGCTTCAGAACCAATGAATTGAAAATCTCCGCGTTTCATTTCTCCCTCCTCCATGTCACGCATAAAAGGCCCTACCACGTGTGAACGAAGGAATACTATGACAAGCTTGGCATGTGGTTTCTTCCTCAGAGTCTCGAAGTACTCGTAATAACGATCTTTTTCTTTCACAAGAATAGACTGTGCAATACAAATTTGGGCCGCAGCTGCTGCTTCTTTGACAGCTTCATAGCCACCTTCACCGTATGCCCCTTCACTATAAACTATCTGTATGTATTTCCCTTTTAGCTCTGAAACAATATTAATATTGATCGGTTTAAATTTGTCAGATGTTAAGTATATAAATGATGAAACTAGAGTTGCCAGTCAATATGAACCCGAAGAAGCCATACAAAAGACTTATAAAAAGTATACGATTATCTTATTTTAAATAACTTACAAACGTTTCTAGTCTAACGTAAACATTTACGAATCAAACACTGACTGGCAATAAAGATGTGGCTCGATTAAAACATTTAAAGCGGGAGCAAGCCTCCGGTTCTCTTGAAAATAATTATTATAGTGTGTCGATAGTTGTTTTACACCTTGGTTAATATAAAAAAAAAATATGCATAAATGTTTCACGTTTTAAAATTTCAGAAATTCTAAATTGCATACGACTTATAAGCAGTAAAACCTTACCTTTTACAATGTCTATCATTGCCTTGGCCTGTACATTATCAGGTGTTATGATTCTTAAAAAGTACGGGTAGAGGTCCTTGTTGCTTAGTATAGGATTGGTCGATGAGTAGCTAACCTGGACAAACTTTAGCTTTGTCAGCTGTTCTGCCGCCGGTGCACTGACGTCGGTAGACTGACCGCCAACATAACCTATACAGACATGTTTGATAATGTCATACAATGATTGTACTAGGCTTTTAAAGAATTTATATTGTTTCAAATGTTGTTTTGGACAGTCGCTTTAAACATGATCATTAAAAACTAATTAAAAACTGCGTTAAGCATCTACAGTAAAATAATAAGGAATTAATATAAAAAAGTAATTTACACATTGCAAATGACACTAACATTCCACACAAATTGCCAAAAGGACGTCGAAATATGCACAAAAATATATTTGTGTATGTCACTCAGCAGAAATATGGTGACAAATACTGCAAAATCAGTCATTTATCGCACAAAGCATTATTACTTGAACCTTTAATTTTTTTGCTTTTCTAAATATATAAGTGCATTTTTCTCAAGTTTGATTTGTTTAATATTTGGCTCATCTTACATGCAGCGCTTAACAATATAGTACTGCATTTAAAAAAGACTACATTTAAAACATATTATGACAAGTAATTATCTTTAATGAACTATGATATTATCATAGTTCCTCATTTTTGACCACTTTATACATGTAGCACACATCAAATGAAAAATAGTTTTGAAAATGTTATTTACCCAGAATTCTATTCTTTATGTCAAGAGTGTCACCATTAGGTAATTTTAATCCTTCAGAATGTAGTGTAAGAATTTTTCGGACTACTTCCAAATCGTTGTTACAGCTATTGATGACAATGACTCCTATACTGTGTCCGGCAAAGTTCTTGACGTATTGATCATACCAGCTTCGTATCTTAAACTCTTCCAGGACAAACTGAAAGAAGGAATAACAAGCACTATAATTATCCAAATGTTGTGATAATGTATTCATATTAAGATAATTCGATAGCTAAAATATTTGAAAGAAACATATAATTATTATATACGGTTCATTTTGTAAACTTACAAACCTCTTACAAATCCCGTACTTAGTCCAACCAGTGCAATTTCAATTTGAATATCTGAGGCTGTAACCGGTATCAAGACATAATAGAAGCTTCAACCAAACATTTACAGAATGACTAAATACCCGTCAATGGAGCATTTGGATACATTAACAAACCTGTCAGAATAGCATTAGCTAATCATGCATTAATTGGATGATCTTAATGTGTATGAAAAAAAAAACGTTAAGACGCTGAAGACACTGAGAAACACTCAAAAATGTAATCATCCACAAGCCGTCGGGCACCGACTCTTGTTTCTAAACTAAGAGGCAAGCATCTTAAACGGTTGGGTCAGTGCTCTCATATCCTACGGCTTATTTTACAATTTCCCGGGGATCGAACCCACGCCAGAGAGGTAACTGGATTAGAATTCATCGACTCTAGCCCCTCGACCACGGAGGCGGTCAAAACTAAGAGGCAATCATCTTAAACGGTTGGGTCAGTGCTCTCATATCCTACGGCTTATTTTACAATTCCCATTTACTTGTATATAAATTTGTATGACAAAGATATTTCTGAATGTAATTTTTGCTTTTTGTTCACTTTTAGTACAATAGATGCTTATTATGATATATATTATGTATTTAATTGGGAGATTTAAAAAACATTAACTGAGCCTTTACTGACCTAGCTTATTGTTGTTGAAACTTTGGGAAGAATAGAACGAAACATAACATTGTTACCTGTAGGGTAAGAAACATCTGATACCCGTGCCTGGTTCTAACTGACCCACATCCTTGTGGCCCTGGTATTGCACGATTGTTGATTGACACAATCCCTGTTATTATAATCTTCAGTTGTAATTTTTGTATCAAGTACACATGTTTTGCGTTAAAAGGTAAAAACTGGTGATTTCTTGTCCTTACTTAAAACAAAGCTTTACAGATGACCGAACCAAACAATTTGTTAAAATGCAGTACATGTATAATTATTTTGCTTTTCAGATAGACATTGGAATCACATAGTAAGCAATAATTTTATTGCAGTAAAAATCTTTATCTTACCGACAATATAAAAATCCCCGGGAATGTGAAAATCTACCTCAGCCAAATCACTCCTAATGCATTCGTCACAAACTTGTTTTATTGGGCATTGACCTTTCCTGACATTTGGATATTTTCTCTCAGATCCATCAGAGGCGTAATCCCGAATATCGTCCTTATTTAACACAAACTCATCGTTAGTCATGTAACCGACCTGTTTAAATATATTAATATCTTTGATAACGTAGTGTAAACTCTACTTTGATGGCATTGATCAGTCAGAAAGTCTTATGAAATGGAGTAATCAACTATGCTGTATTTTGGCAACGAATATATGAAATCAGTGCATTTTCCTTGTTTAAAAAATATATGTATACTCTACTTACATTTACATTATAAAGAAATAATTTTAAATGAAAATGCAGGGAAATGTACTCAAAGTTATAAAATTACACTAAACGTTTGACATTGTATTAGTATCTTGTAAGGAAAATAACGAGCAAAATGTTTTACTTACATTGACAAGCTCAAATGCATTACTTTCTTCTCCTTCTCTATAATTGTAGACCTCATAAATATTTTGTTTCGGTCCTACTTTGCCATTTGGAGAATCTTTTGTAAAAGCAAGAGAGATACCATTGTATGATACTGTAAGATTGTCCATTTCGAATATGACTTGACCTGGTTTAAAGTTATCCTTAAACTCCTGTACAGAAGAGCATTCACCATTGCATATTCTAGCAGAAACTTTTTTCAAAACTTCAACAAGCGTATGCGTTGCAAGTACCCCATAATTTACATACACAGATTGTGGGGAGGCTTTTGCGTTTACATCGGCGTCTGTTAGCGGCAGACATGACCCCTTCCTGATGTCACATCCACTGTACGCTTCAAATACGTCAAAAAGATATGGATTCACTCCTGATGCGTTACGTAATTTTTCAATATTCGTAAATAATGAATTCCAATAACTTTTAAAGTCCTTTTCCTCTGAATATGGGGCTGAAACAACAAGAGTTCCCTTTGCATCTGAAAGAATACCACTACCAGCAGATTTAAAAACATCGAGCTGCAACTGAGTTGCTTCTGACACAATGAATATAGGAACTTCAGATGAGTGTAGGTTATTTATAATTTGAAAGATTTTATTAGCCACAACTTTTCCGCCAATATAAACAACACCCTGCACGCTCGGAGACAATACAGCAATTTTTTCAATGATGTCATTGAGCTGCGATAAATGAACATTCCTTGAGCTGTCTAATGTGATTGGATACGACCGAGATATGCATATGCTATTTTTAGCTGCTTCGATATCCAGTGACTCTGCACCAATTCTACCATATGTGTCATTCTCATATACCACGGCGATTCGATTCCATTCCAGAGATTTCATCAAATGAACCATTGTCTGCAATACATATTGACTTGCTTTTATGTTCTACTTATACAATATACAATTTGAATTCAAAGATAATTTCTTTATACCTATTTGAAATATAACGGTACAAAAATTTAAAAAATGTTTCCATTTGATTTTGAAGAACATAATGAAGAAAACCAAAATTCATTTTTGGAAAGATTTCAAGGTAAGTGTTTAAAGGTTCTTCTAAATATCTCCCTCGGAAGCATTAAAATAGCAAAATTACATGAAAATTTCAGACTAGGTTTGATTGAGTCTGTACATGAGGGATAATGAAAAAATGCAACATCACATGCGTCCCCTTACACCGGCTTGAGCGGTACTCAATTTTCAACACTTAAAAGTACTGGACTCAATGATCCTGAAAACACTGTCAACGTCATAATATTGCGGTGTAGGTAGTGATATCTTTAAATTTATCTTGTTCTAATATTATGCACCAGAGAATTGCAACATTTCACTTTAATCTTTTTAAGTCAATAAAATAAAAAGCGTTTAAACAGTTTTGACTCAAATATCTTAAAAACTTATTTTTAATTTAATTAGTGCTTAATTCTTCATTTTCCAATACCCATGTTTTAAGTTCCCAAGCATAAGGGTTTCATATTTTCTGTGTAAATGCCTTTGGACCTCATACATTTCCTTTAATTTAAACAAGTTGTGTATGTGTATTATATTCAAACATAGCCGTGAAAAGTATTTTGATTTTTTTATGTATTTATCGTGGTTCATGTCTGTTGAATACATTTTATTCTTACCCAGAATCTTTCCAACATCAATGAGGTGCAGCGCTCTAGCAACCGTAACACGTGTGTATGCTGGTCAATATTTAACTACAATACAACGTAGTCTTTCGTTTCAAATGGTATAAATATATAACTTACAGTTATTTGGATACCATCCTCTGAGATGACTCTGTAGTAATTAGGATATCGGATTCTGTCGTTCAATACGGTCGATGTAGAGGAATATCCTAATTGTATTAACCTCTCCGAAGGTAGCTGGGACCCAAGAATGGATGAAACAATTTGAGCTTCAGAACTGTAGCTTGGGCCAAGCACGCCTTGAAAAGTAAACAAAAATGTACGAATAAACAAAATACATACTACACAATTTAGCAGCGAATGGTTTAAGTAAAAACGAAAAAAAGCACAAAAACATCTGTTAAGTACTACATTGATAGGTAATGATGTACCGATCTTTGAATGAACTGCTTTTATTTAAATACTGATTAAAACTAAAAAAGACTTCGTGCTAACTTAAGTTTAAAAGTCGATTATGTAACGAAAAGAAACTATTCAGCGAAAACAAAACATTGACAATACTAATAAAAAGTAAGAATAAGTAAATAAAAAGTAAAAATAATTTGCGTCTTTTACTCTCAGTAAGAAATTGCCATTTCAACTAGTATAGAGTAAGATAATTCAGCACGTCCTTGATATCTAACAGTAGACATTTCAAAATTCAAACCATGATTAACCGACTAAAATATTCTATAGGGAAGGATAATTTTTTTATTTATTTAATTCACTTTGCACTTTTTAGTAGAAATTCACTGCTGCCCATGACCACTTTTAATCAAACTGAGTCTTCAACATTTTCAGTTTTCATTTATCACGGCTCTCGTGTTCAAAAATGAGTGTAAACTATATTGTGTGGAGACATGCCATTTTGGAGAGAGTGAGACTGATGCCGGTGCTAGGGTTTGGGGTGAGAACGATCGCCTGCATAACGTGATGTCGTTCATAAACAAGCTAAATAAAGTCAGGGCAACTTATAATTTCGCCGTGATTGGCGGTCATTAAGGTACAACTTTTAAAATATCTATGAAAGATCCTGTATCTTGTGATTGAGGTTGTATATCACACTTAAGTGATTACATACTTGTATACATGTATGTTTATATTATGCTAATACAAACATTTTTAAACATCAAAGAATATGTAAAATATGTACTCCAATTACTTGTGTCTATAATATATAATCATTAAAATATATGAATTATTTTCTTATTAGAAAATTTGACTTAGACTTTATAGAAAATAAATTTCTAATTACCTCTCTTTATTTACATGAAATGTTAAATTCGATAATATCTTTATAAATTATGCTTTTTGGAACATACAATATTAATAAATCTTAATTTGAGCATCATATTTATGATATAAAACCATACAAAAATTGTGTCACAGGATCTTTAAACAGTTTCCTGATTACCTTGATAAAATTACTTAAAATATGATATATTACCAACTATGAAGTCTTCGGAAGAATTGGTAACTCTTGCCATCCGGTACTTTGATAATATGTCGACGGCATGTTGTCCAGCTAGTCCAGTATTCCCACATGTCTTGTAATATGATAATCCTGAAAAATAGTCAGAAGTGATTTTTTCAAATAATTAATATCAATTTCATGCTTAAGATGACGTGTGATTATATAAAACATGATTTTAAGACTTTCAAAATGAATATAACTTGTTAGGTGACATCGTTTTCACTTATCGTGATCAGCATATATTGCAAACATTTTTTGTCAGATATTAATTTTATTTACTTTGAATGATGTCGCAAAGAGCTAAAATTCTGAATGTAAGGAAATTATTTGTAGTGCATATAAATAGGGAACAGTTTACGCTTACGTCGCAATGACGTTCCGTAACCTAGCTGAAAAGCTTCATCACGTGGATGATATCAAAATCCCTGGCGGGATTCTAACCCACAGCGAAAAGGGGAAAGTGGTCAACAAGTCAACAAGTAACATATCGAAATAACCTGAACCGTTCAGCCACGAACAGGAAACAGGGATTAAAACGAGCATGTACTCCTAATGAGTGACCAGATGTGTATTTTTTGACAAGAAGCATATATATTTATCATTGAAATTCTAGAGAAAGAATAAGGTGTACTTAGAAATCAGCGTTTGTAAACAAAAGCCAAATCTGAGCTAGATATTCAAACCTTTAAAATAAGGTCTAATGAAATAAAGACATTTTATATCGGTGCCAATCTAGTCAAAACAAGATTTTACTTCTTGGGACCCTTATGGGGTCGAGTGCATCGTTCTTTGGCTTTTGCATACATCCATATCGATCCCAGAGCTGGCTGTTCATTTGAGGCTATTCTGTCGAGGTCAGTTCGATATTGTTTTAGTATATATTAATTATCGATTTCAGAGCCAGCTCTGGATTCAATGCTACCATAATAATGACATTAAATAATGAATATCAGTCTCAGAGCCAATACTTTGGTCACTGCTAGCTCGATATTTCTGCTCGTTTTATGAATTTTGAATATCTATATCAGAGTTTTGATGCTAGCGCCATATTACAGTTTTAACATTGAATATTCACCACCAAGATGGATAAAAATTATAGAAAAGGCTATGAAATGGATTCTTTCAATTGAATACCGATTTTAGGAGTCGAAGTTTCAAAGCTTGAGGTTAAATTTCAGATATAAGAGATTATGACAGTGTGTTTATTAGATATTGAATAAACAAATTCAATAAATTTAATCCTGTAGCTTAAGTTAACCTAGTTTGGATTCTGTGGTTCATTCCCTGATTTTTTTTTATATATACCTCTTTTTCATCGTACAAGTATGTCAAACACGTATTTAAAAGAAGGAAGTTTTAATAAATTATAGCTTAACCGAATAGCATCAAAACATCTTTAATCGTCACCTTAGGAACATAACTGATTAACTGCTCTTATTTTTAGAAGGACTTATTACGTTATTGCACTAACGTGACGTTTTTGTATTGGTCGTTTTAACTTTTTTTGCAGTCATCCCAATACTATGCACTTCTAATGTGTTTTTGTGCTTTATAATATAAATATATTATTGTATAAATAATTTGTATTCAGTTGACTACATACTTTTCTCATTTACTATTTATAACCGTCATTTTGTTTGTGGCGACTGATATTGTAAAATGTGTATGTCTTTTGAAAAAAAAATCTTTAAATTTTAAATCTATAGATAATTGATTAGAAACGGTGAATGAATTTACACTGCCAAATTGACAAAAAAAATCATTCTATACTATTATTCAATTTTTATAATGGTTTTTTATAAGGAAAATAGTAAACCATCACACTGTGAAAAGCTTTTTAATAATAACAATAAAACATTTTCGTTCAATCAATTATACATTAATTTTCTCCTGCTCTTTATATAGATTGTATATATAAATACCGATGATTACAATTAATCACCACTCTGAGCGGAATTTTATAAAAGTGAGATATTCAAGGTTAACCGTATTTAATTTCAAAGCATGAATGCCTTTCAAATGCATGAAATGAGGTAAACGTAATTCCCCCCGTATTTTGTAGAGTTGCTTTGAGGTTAACTTGCACGTATTTACTATTTATGAATAATAAAGATTTACATTTGATCCTGATTTTATTTTTGACATTTCAGACCCTGACCCCAAAAGGCACTGTCATTGTTAAAACGATATAAAATGTGTTTCTTCTTAACTTTGTTAAATAAATAAAAACAAGAACTACGACTTTGTTAAATAAATAAAGGCTAAGATTTACAACGTTGATTAATAATAGCTGATCATTACGACTTTGTTTAAAAAATAAATATCAATAATTAAGATTCTGTTTAATAAATAAAAGCCAGGAATTAAGACTTTGTATGAAAAATAAAGGCTAAGAACTTCGGCTTTTTTTAATAAATGAAGGCCAAGAATTATGACTTATTAAACAAATAAACATCAAGAAAAACGACTTAAAGAAACTAAGGCCGAAGACTAACACACCTTAATTTATGAATAAAGAGCAAGAATTACGACTTTGCTTAATAATTCCAGACCAAGAATTACGACTTTCTTTAATAATTAATGGCCTAGAATTATGACTTTGTTTAATAATTCAAGACCAAGAATTACGACTTTGTTTAATAATTCAAGAGCAAGAATTACGACTTTGCTTAATAATTCAAGACCAAAAATTACGACTTTGCTTAATAATTCAAGACCAAGAATTACGACTTTGTTTAATAATTCAAGACCAAGAATTACGACTTTGTTTAATAATTCAAGACCAAGAATTACGACTTTGCTTAATAATTCAAGACCAAGAATTACGACTTTGTTTAATAATTCAAGAGCAAGAATTACGACTTTGTTTAATAATTCAAGAGCAAGAATTACGACTTTGCTTAATAATTCAAGACCAAAAATTACGACTTTGCTTAATAATTCAAGACCAAGAATTACGACTTTGTTTAATAATTCAAGACCAAGAATTACGACTTTGCTTAATAATTCAAGAGCAAGAATTACGACTTTGCTTAATAATTCAAGAGCAAGAATTACGACTTTGCTTAATAATTCAAGACCAAGAATTACGACTTTGTTTAATAATTCAAGACCAAGAATTACGACTTTGTTTAATAATTCAAGAGCAAGAATTACGACTTTGTTTAATAATTTCAAGACCAAGAATTACGACTTTGCTTAATAATTCAAGAGCAAGAATTACGACTTTGCTTAATAATTCAAGACCAAGAATTACGACTTTGTTTAATAATTCAAGAGCAAGAATTACGACTTTGCTTAATAATTCAAGACCAAGAATTACGACTTTGCTTAATAATTCAAGAGCAAGAATTACGACTTTGCTTAATAATTCAAGACCAAGAATTACGACTTTGTTTAATAATTCAAGAGCAAGAATTACGACTTTGTTTAATAATTCAAGAGCAAGAATTACGACTTTGTTTAATAATTCAAAAGCAAGAATTACGACTTTGCTTAATAATTCAAGACCAAGAATTACGACTTTGCTTAATAATTCAAGAGCAAGAATTACGACTTTGCTTAATAATTCAAGACCAAGAATTACGACTTTGCTTAATAATTCAAGAGCAAGAATTACGACTTTGTTTAATAATTCAAGACCAAGAATTACGACTTTGTTTAATAATTCAAGAGCAAGAATTACGACTTTGTTTAATAATTCAAGAGCAAGAATTACGACTTTGCTTAATAATTCAAGAGCAAGAATTACGACTTTGCTTAATAATTCAAGAGCAAGAATTACGACTTTGTTTAATAATTCAAGAGCAAGAATTACGACTTTGTTTAATAATTCAAGAGCAAGAATTACGACTTTGTTTAATAATTCAAGAGCAAGAATTACGACTTTGCTTAATAATTCAAGAGCAAGAATTACGACTTTGTTTAATAATTCAAGAGCAAGAATTACGACTTTGTTTAATAATTCAAGAGCAAGAATTACGACTTTGCTTAATAATTCAAGAGCAAGAATTACGACTTTGTTTAATAATTCAAGAGCAAGAATTACGACTTTGCTTAATAATTCAAGAGCAAGAATTACGACTTTGCTTAATAATTCAAGAGCAAGAATTACGACTTTGTTTAATAATTCAAGAGCAAGAATTACGACTTTGTTTAATAATTCAAGACCAAGAATTACGACTTTGCTTAATAATTCAAGACCAAGAATTACGACTTTGCTTAATAATTCAAGACCAAGAATTACGACTTTGTTTAATAATTCAAGACCAAGAATTACGACTTTGTTTAATAATTAATGACCAAGAGTTTCGACTTTGTTTCAATAATTTAAGACCAGGAAGAACGACTTTGCTCAATAATTAAAGGCCAGAAAGAACGCCTTTGTTAAATAAATAATGGTTGAAAATTGTGGTGACTTTTTTAATAAATCAAGGCCAGGAACTGCGACTTACTTTTAAATTAATAAATAAAAAAGAACTTAGACTTTGATAAATAGATAAATACCAAGAATGATGGCTTAATTAATAAGTTCGGGTAAAGAATTACGAGTTTGCTTAATAAATTAAGGTAAAAAATAACGACTTTGTCAATAATTTAATACTTACAATTTTTAAAATACACTAATCTTGAGAAATAACTTACCTAGTTTGAAAGGGAGTGTTTCATCGCTGTTGACTTTTTCAAGGTACCATCGTATAGCTTCCATGACCATTACCGATGGTACATTAATATCTCCACAATTACCATCAGTCACATCCTGTATATCAAGTATAGCTAAAAAGCAAGAGAAAGAGAAAGTATATATGTGTATATATGTGTATAACACATTTTTAATGCCAAAACGTTTACAGAATGCTATCTCTTTCTTTTCCTAAATTTTACCAAAGTTTAACGTTAACCGAGAGAGTCAACGAATGGACAAGACTTTTACAGGTTTCTTCTAAATCCATAAGTTATCCGAGTTATTTACGGGTGTTTTGTCTTATCTTTATTTAACTTTGACATCGACCCATGAGTGTTAAATCGTAGAAAATAAGGCTTATCAAATCCTTAAAGTAAAAAAGTGCGGGTTTTGCTATTTTTTTTTTGTTGTTGTTCTCTTTGCTAAATGTTCTCTTTGTGTTTCCGTACTTCGAACATGTGCTTAAAGATGATCATGAAAAAAAATCGTCCGCCAGGGCCCCCATATAAACATAATATGATTTTTAACGTAATTAAATGTTCAACAATCATTGCGTTCCATTTCAAAGTTTCGATCTTAACAGAGTGGTATTACCTATCGAATGTATGGAAAGTGGTTTGAAAAGAAATTCCATCATACAAAATATAAAATGCATCATAACATGCATGTGATCTTGTTTTGTTATTGAAATTTATATAGATCGTCAAACCAAAAGCATTTTAATTCATTCATCTAAAATCAATTTCATATTTCAGTGAATTTGAAAGTCCTGTGCATGCTTGATGTTCTATGAAAGAAAGTTGTATTCATTATTCATATTGCAGTATTTATTTATGTAAACCTGTATGAAATACATATATATGTACGGACACAACGAAAGGACATTAATGGTCATTTTGTTTGGTAAAAATCACCATTCTACTTTTTAATAATCTGGTGGCCACAAATAAAATTGTGTTATCTTTCATTTCTAACCGCACTTTTTAACAGGTAGATCGTATAATGGTAACTTCCATCGCGCAGGCAGATTTATATATCATTGAAAGACATGGTGTCGCTCGTATAAACTAGGTCTCTATGTCATGTCATAGGTCAAAGTAACACTTAATGGTCAGAGAAAAGCGCTTGTCAGGAGCAAAACTTCAACAGACATTGTTAGATTTTGATATAACTTTGCATAAATATTAACTATATTCATATACATGTATAATACGGGGTGTCAGAAGCCTTCCCATACCCCAAGCAAATATGTATACGGACAAATTGGTACTCTTATTTAAAGATATTTTATCACAAATCGGCACAATGGTTAAACTGAGTATAACGAACATAAAACAGGTCAATTAATGAAAGGTCAAGGTCAACAGTGATATTGACAAAAATGTTTATGTGAGGCGGAATGTGACAAGTAAAATTTAGGTCACTGTGACTAAAGACAAGGACGCACACAGAGGTCAAATGTCAATAAAAAATATAAAAATATGTGAACTGAACATGTTGAAGCAATGCATCACATAAAATCACAGTCATATGACTGTGTGTAAGCAGCAAATAACTATTGTCAAGGTAACCAGAGATTATTAAATTTCGAGAAAGTGTCGGGAGAATATCTCCTGTTTGTTTCGATGGATTTAAAGGGAGACACAGGCAAAATCTTCATATTTTTTATTTTAATTTTCTATTCAATATTCTATACATGTCATCGAAATGAATAGACAAGGCAGTCTATGGAACACATTTTTTTTACATATAAAGAAAAAAATGTTGGTTTCCTAACCTGACCCACGCGGGTCAGGTTAGAGCATTTAGATTTCACCATAGTTACCACAGTGAACTATAAAAACGTAAAAGTACCTGTCAAATGAGCGACTTAGGCTTGTTATAATCTTACAATATCCACGATATTTGTTTTTTTAACTTCTAGGGATTGTAATTGTCAAATGACTTGTTTTAAGACTACTTGTTAGTTCTGTCTGCGTCGTCATTTCGTTCCTCATATGTAGACTTATTTAAGTTTTAAACTCACATTATAAAGTATTTATACAGAAAAAAAAACATGCTTGGACTTTGAATCACTTTTAAAAACTTCATTTTAGCGTAAGTTTAGTAAATATGGTAAATTTAATATTTTGTCATATATTTGCCTGAATATCCCTTTAAGTATTAATTGATAGAAACGTTCACCTGTATCAGAAGTAAAATTGCGCGCATGAACCGGCCTGTACATGAAAGGTTAGGTTTCTTCTCAAACGGAATCGCTTTTTTTTAAGTAAACGGAATAATAAAAATAACCCCGTATGTCTCTTGTGTGATTCCATAGAAATATACACAAGAAACAAATATCAGTAGAACGAATTTATAGTAAATAATGTTGAAATGACGTGTAAAGATTGATATATTGATATACAGTGTTTATGTTGTTTTTTTTTTTTTTGTTTTTTTTTTTTTTTTTTTTTTGTTTTTTTATGTGTTTTTTTTTTCATTTGAATGCCATAAAATAGTTTATCTCATACTTTATACATGCATTTATGTTTTGTAAAAATGAGGTAATTAACGGTTTTTTTTTATTTTGTTGTTTCTTTTGGGGTGGATGTTTTTGTTGTTGTTGTTGTTGTTGTTGTTGTTGTTGTCTTCTTTTTTTTTGGGGGGGGGGGGGGGTATAACCAAAGACGTCAAAGTCACCAGAATTATTTATGTTATTCTTCATGTAAACTTTTAAAAGTTGGTGGTTTTGAAGGTTTTCACCTCTTCTTTAATAGATATACTGTGATCATCATTGTGTGAAATATTTTATTGCAAATATCTATTGAAATCTATAAAATTCAATAAAAATATCAAGTTTTAGTAGAGTATATCTTTAAAGTTGTAACACCACAAAGAGCTATAATACTTTCCGCTTGAGCGCTACATATAGTGATTTATGTTTTGCCTGCGATTTTTTTTAAGATTTGTTATCTTTAAATACAAATGTTAAAGAGACAATAGTGTATATTTGATACTTTGTACTTGCACGTATACAAAACGGCACCCTCAAGCTTATCGATGCTCAACAATATGGTCCTATTGTATTCATAATGTATTTTATTCAGGCATTTACGCTTGTATATGTATCTGTAATAACAAAATTTATGTGCTTCCCACAGGTGCCTGACGTCTAACACTCGCCCCTACCCTACCCTACCCTACCCTACCCTACTCCTAACCCTACCCTTCTCCTTTATACATTTTTTAAGAAGGTATAAAGAGGATATTAGACGTCGGGCGCCTGTATGTGCGTTTAACATGTGTTTCTGTCTTTACTCAGGTATATAAATGTATGGTTGACAAAATGTATCATGATTTAGGTGGGAGTTAAGTCTTATTGACACTGTACAGGTCATATGGCGACTTAACAATAACATAGTTTTTGCTGAGGAATACCTTAGGCTTTATTAAGACTCGAACCGGCATTTGGGTACAAACCGCTGTTCTTTTGTAAGCACGCTGGATAACTTCCTCATACAAAATAAACCCATGTCCTTGACGGTATTTGAACCGACAACTTCAAGGTGCAAATAACATGAAATCGGAGACTATAACCATTAGGCCACTGGACTGTAAGAAGTTGCACGCAAAAAAAGCAGGTGGAAACATAAATTTGTTGACATATATTTTTATTGTTTTATTGTGCAGATGTGATAAACAAACTAAAATGTATAACATATATTCTGTCATAGCCTTGACCTTGCTTTGCAGACGAACAAACTAGTTTAGAGTAAAATACAAAAACTATCATATTCATACCCATTGTTCATATATCATTGTAGAACACAACAATTATCTGTTTGACAATCTTGAAGATTAAAAGGACAATACTAATCTTATTACAGATACCATCTTCTTTAAAATACTTTAAGTTTGACTATTTTATGGGCTTCTTAATGGTGGGATGTGTTTGTTATATTGGATGCTACGTTTACTTGTGTCGTATTTTGAAATAGTGGACATATTACATTCAATCAGATAATAACATACAAAAACGTGGTATTTTTATTTCGTCTGCTAACAAATGTGTCAGATACTTGAAGTTACAAACAATTGTGTCAATTGCTAATCATGTTATTTAATCTTTTAAACTATTCTTTAAGCTTCTTTACATTTTTGTTATTGTAAATACCATACATGTAACAATAAAACAAAAATGAAAAATTCAAAAGGCTTTATAAAAATTTTATATTTTCAACCGATATTCAAATCGATAAACGACAAAATTGGGACTTTTTCGTGATTTGCTCATCATCATCATCATCATCATCATCATCATTATCATTATCATCATCATCATCATCATCATGATAATAATAATAATAGTAATAATAATAATCATAATTATAATAATAATAATAATAATAATAATAATAATAATAATAATAATAATTATGATAATAATAATAATAATAATAATAATTATAATAATGATGATAATGATAATAATAATAATAATAATAATAATAATTATGATAATAATAATAAGAAGAAGAAGAAGAAGAAGAAGAAGAAGAATAATAATAAGAAGAATAATAATAATAATAATAATTATAATTATAATAATAATAATAATAATAATTAGAAAAACAAGCACAATAAAAACATCATAAAAAAACATATTCTATTCAATTTGTCATGGTATTTTAGTATAATTTCAGGAATTTCAGTAAGAAAAGGTCAAATTGATCAGTCGACAATATACGGCAATGTCAGAAAGTCTTAGCTGTAAATTCTTAGCCTGCTAGAACCGGAGTAATATTCCTTTACCACTTTTGCCACCAGTAAGGAGCCAGGCGAGCCGGCACATCCGTGAAGTCTTGCTAGACTCTCTTCTTTTGGCTGGCCACCTTCATATCTTCATCTTGATATCTTCAAAATTAATCAATTTGCGGTCCCAAAAAATGAAAGCCTAATATAAATTCCCAGGTTAAAAGTCAATATTTTTAAATGTTTGGCTATAGACAGTCTTTGGTTTTATCATTTTGATATGCGGACACCTTTTGACATTATGGTTGTAGAATATAGTGATGTAGATGATGTATTATGGAAACTTCTTGGTAAAAAATCAAATCATGCAAAACTTTAACTTAAGTAAATGCAACATCACTATTTAGTATAAAATGAAAATATGAAAAATATTATCTTTAAACATAGTGTCACATTAGGTTTGAAATCTTTATTAACAAAAGAAAAAGTGATCATATTGTTTATTATTTTATTTCGTGTTGATTGAAAAATGAATTACATTCATTCCGGATTATGATTATAGATTGCAATCTACGACATACATGTATAAGTAATTCGAACAGAACAGAACAGAACAAACAAGTATTTCATCGTATGCACAGTAATCATACAAGGAAAAAGTGACTTGCAATAATTTTCACATACAGATGATTTAGAGAGTGGTTTTGTAATTCTTGTTTATTTATTTATTTATTTATTTATTTATTTATAGAATAAACAAATATAATGCAAAAATTATAATATGTTTGGCCAAATTACAAGTTAAATTGAAACGAAGTTCAGTTAGTATATAGATATGCTAAGATGTTTAAACTGGTTGAATGTGGTAGTAAAAAATATTTATTCATTAAATCGATCCAACCGCCATTCCAGAAGAATACATTTCAATACGATAATAGTTACATTGACCTTGCTCAAGGTCATGCTTACTGCGTAATACACAAATTAGCCCTGTTAAATTAATTTATGTTTTCGGAAGTTCATTTCAAATATGTCTACATTAATAGCGTTAAGATCAAAAGACAATCCACAATTCTTTGCATGCATGTAGTAAATTGTAGTTTGATAGCATATCATTAACCATGCATATAGTTGTAACAATTCAAATTAACACACATAAAGAAAAAATATATTGTCAAATACTTTAAACCACAAATCACATTTGTTAAAACCGGCTACTAAAATTTAAAATTCAGATTTACATTTGGATTGACAAAGGGGAAATATGCATAAGTAGGTCTAAACCTGAAGGCGTCGGAATTTATTTTTGTATTGCTAAATTATCAAAAGATACCTAAATAAGACAAAAATAGCCCTTACTGCGTTATTAACGCAGTGTTAATATGGTGATAAAAACTGCACAATCAGTGTTTAATTGCACATAACCTGTAAATTATTACTTTAATCTTAAAAAATATTATATTTTTTTTTTACTTTTCTGAAAAGCATAGTACACTTCACTTTTATCAAGTTTAACTTTCTTGAAATATTTTTGACGCATCTGGAGGCGCGCAGCTTTAATGCCAACAAAAGAAATACATGATTTCTTTGGATACATTTCTAGTGATTTGTTGTGAATTTAATAGCTTGGTCAGGTGGATAAACACATAAGTAATGTTTATAACGAATACAAAGATTCAATATCAATTCATATTAAAGAAAAATTACGTTTCAGAACCGAATAAATATTTAATTCCTAAAGGCACATTATGTGTCAGAAATGAATAGACCATTTGAGCCGCGTCACGAAAAAAAAACAACATAATGCGTTAAAGCTTCTGAGAAATAAAAATCAAAGCATGTCTGGATCATTATGGGCCTTTAAAAATTAAATTTAAAGAATATAAAATGCTTACAAGCAATTGTGACATCCCCCTCTAGAAGTAAATCAGCGTCCGTTAATCCAATAGAATTGAAACAAATTATCATAACAAACACTGGTGCAATGTGCACAAAAATATTCTTCTTTGCTTCTTTTATCATCATTTTGATGATTTCCGGTACACACAGACGACAACTGGCGTTCTGGCTAAATATCTTCAAACATAAATAGTTTTCCTTTTTTCCACAACAAAATCCCCCAAAAAGTCTTATTTAAATTTGTTTTTCAATAGAAATAGAGCGTCACTTTTATTAAGCGTTTAGAATCGCTTGATATTTACTTCCTTGTGATTTTAATCGGTCTGTAAATTATTTCATTTTATTTTCGTAAACATTTCATTTACTTCTACCCGTCGGTTTATGTTGGTTAAAGCCTTTTCAAAGTTTATGAATGGTTAATATCATTAATTATAAAGCAATTTATGTCAAGGTTCCTTTCATAAAAGATTGTTAAATGATTGAATATATTATGCTAGAGGTACCTTATTTTGGAATATAATGCGGTGTAAAGGCCTACTTTTTATTACCTCATATTTACTAACAATACCGCTTGCACACATTTGTAGATCTTAATTAATGACAAGGTTATTAAGGCAAAACAAACCGTATACCTTAAAAAACAAGTATTAAAAGTAGTTTTAATTAAAACTATTAACTTTAATTAGAGTTTTTATAAAAGGGAAGTTATAAGGAACATATACTTTTCAACTTTTGCTAAGAATATGAATATTTTTTTGGGGATAATTTTATTAACGCCGTGCGAAAGTTTTAAAATGCTGATTTACTGTTTTATCAAATCAGCTGAAGGACGAATTTAACCCTTTAACGGGTATGACTACCCATTCTTGGGCCAACATGACTCCAAGCTCCTGGATGGTTCTTGATTGCAGCTGACGAGCTGAAATTCTAACCTGCAGCTCATTCCACATGTGTTCTTTTTGATTTAAGTCAGATGAGCGAGCTGGCAAGTCCATGCACTTAATAGACTCCCTCTTTAGGTAGTCCTGGACCTCCCTAGCCCTATGGGGGCGAGCATTATCGTCCATTAGAATAAACAGATCGCCGACTGCTCCAGCATACAACCTAACCTGTTTGTCTAAGATGTCGTCCATGTATGGCTGACCTATCAATGTCCTCTATTTAGCACAACCATATCGGTTTGTCCATCCCAGCTGATGCCTCCCCACACCATAACTGACCCACCTCCGTAGGGATATGGTAATCAATATTTGCAGCCTAAAACCGTTGACCTCGTCTTCTCCAGACTCTAGCACACCTATCTATTAAGTCTAGGCAGACCCTGGACTCATCAGTAAACAGAACGTGTCTCAAGTGTTGCACGGTCCACTGTGTATGCTCCACGATCCATTCCAAACAGGCCTGACGATGTCAAAGCGTCAAGGGGATACGTATGTAAGGTCTTTTCGACCGCAAATTACCTTCATGCAACCTTCTACATACTGTCTGCGTTGAAACACAGACCCCCGCAGCATTAGCAAGGTCATTTCTAAGAGAAGGTGCTGTCGAAAACCTTGCATGACGTGCATAAACGACCAATAACCGATCCTGAGCTGGTGTTGTGGCCCTTTGGCGGCCTCCAGCATGCCTCCTGGCGGGTGTACTATATAGCCGGTATCCCTCCCAGGATGTGGTGAAGACGGTGTGGTGTACACCAAGCGCCGCACTAACCTGTCGGAAGATGCCCCCTTGCTGCACCATCCCTATAACCCACCATAACAAATGCCGCCTAATGTTAGCATTCGCAATATTGAAGTGATTGATGTAAGATATATACGAGGGGAAGTCAGAAAATATCCGGACTTTTTACTCGTTCTCGAAAACCATTCAATCTTTCTACTCTTTTTCTAACTATTCTCCACCTACGTCTACGCACTTTTGCCATCTTCGTGGGAGCTTTTGTATTCCCGCTGTGAACCATGACGTAGAACTATGTTTTAGGTACTGTGTAACAGCAGATATCAAAGCCGCCCTGGTCTTATATTTCTTTCCAGCAAGCAATTTTTTCAGTTCTGGAAACAAATAAAAGTTTTGTTTTGTTTTTGGGTTTTACGTCACATCGACACAGTATAGGTCATATCGCGACGTTCCAGCTTTACTGGTGGAGGAAGACCTCAGGTGCCCTTCCGTGCATTATTTCAGGCACGAACGGGTACCTGAGTAGAACCACCGACGTTCCGTAAGCTAGCTGGATAGCTTCCTCACATGAAAGAATCCAAAGTCCCTGTCGGGATTCGAACCAACAGCGGTGAGGGGAAAGTGGTTTGAAGTCAACGACCTTAACCACTCGGTCACGGACGCCCACAAATAAAATTCACAGGGGGCGAGGTCTTGGCTATAAGGAGGGTGAGACAACAATTGCCATTTGTAAGAGTTGATAACCTCCACTTTAGCTGCGGCGGTATGGGAGGCGGCGTTATCGTGAAGAGGGAGGACATTTTTCTGTGCTAACCTGGGATGCATTTGCTTCAGCTTTTCTCTGATATTTTCAGAATTACTTCAGAATACTAGTAGTACTTGGCGGTGACAGTTTGACCTTTTGGCATGAAATGCGTAAGTATCATTCCCAAAAGGCAACAAGCATGACTTTGCCAGCCGAAGGAGACAGCTTAAACTTTTTAGGAGGTGGGGAACCAGCTCGTTTCCACTGATTTGACTGAATTTTTGTCTCAGGTTCGGAATAATGAACCCACATCTCATCTCCAGTGATAATGCGGTGGTTCAAAAACTTATCTCCTTCACGATTAAAACGACTTAAATGCTCTTTTGCATTGGTTACTCTGGTTGCCTTTTGATATGCGGACTGCTGTCTAGGCACCCACCTGGTACTTACCTTGCTCATGCCTAGGTGTTCGTGTAAAATCTTGTGTGCCGATGCCTTTTCGATGCTAAACTTGTTGGCTACCTCCTCCAAAGTTACTCGACGATTTTTGTTGACAAAAGCTTTAACATTTGCTACCATTGTTGGGGTCACCGCCTCAGCTGGCCGCCCAGTCCTAGGCCTGTCACAAACACTTGTTCTGCCTTCACGAAACTGAGAAACCCAGTTGTAGAAGGTTGAACTTAATACACATTTATCAGAAAATCTTTTTTTAAGCCCCTGGAAGATGTGGCAGGGCTTTTCACCTTCTGCAACCAGAACCTTTATTACAGAGCGTTGTTCCTCTTTAAACATATTTATTTAAGCTTGATTGCGAAACAAGTTCTTGCAACTTATATTAATCACTTTCGAGTCCGCTTCCTGGAACCAACCAGTACTGGTGTCATATGGAGAAACATGGTCGTGACCCGTGAAACATGGTTGTTCCTCTAACAAAGAGTCCATGATAGACAAAACACCTATCATAATATCAGAGGGCAAAATACTGTGTATACACAACTATCATTGAAAATAGACTGACCACCATATATTGGCGAATGAATGTAGTTTTCACCAATATATAATGTGTGTACATGTATATAGCTGCACATGGAAAGAGAGGAGCATGAAAAGTCCCGATATTTTCTGACCGTCCCTCGTACTATAGCATCCTAGCCTTCTTAGGCACATCCTTACATTTTTATCAGCACATATTATGAATTACTGCAGATTTGCTTTTAACAATCAGCTAATTGTAAAAGGAAATCAGCCCTAGTCAACTTCATAATGTTCATCTTACACATTTTTTATGTATGCTGTACAATAACAAATCATTTTTTGTTGCGTTCAGAAGAAGAAATATAGTAACTGCCCAATGATAAAATGATTTTGAAATTTCTATATTAGAAAAATTGTTGGCTTATTTTATGTAATCAACATTAAAGGCCCATTTTGCCTCAGAAATGCTTTTATTTTTATTTCTCAAAAGCTTTTTAATTTTGATGTACTTTTATAGGATCCAAACATTACTCATTGGCCCAACTATCTTTTTCATCTGTTGATTTTGGACAATTATAGGGTACATGCAGTTTACAATGACTTTGTATGGAAGTCAAAATACTACTTTGTTTATATTTTTCTACCTTTATAACAAATTATTTTATGTTTATCACTACTTTCTTCAGGTTACATCTTCTAAAATTCTCTAAAACCATTATTTTATCATTTGACCTTTCTAAAGATGCTTCTGAGGCATAATGTGCCTTTAAAGCAAATAAACTATATTGTATTACATTATATTGGTAATATTGCAACATTAATAGGGCCAGTTTTTCAGGCATAAAAATTTGTGCACAAAGGATCCTATATTTTAGTGATATTTTATTTAATAAAAGTTGGAACCTTGATGTTGTGACAATGTTGGGCCACGTGAAAGGTGATATTGTGCCAATGGTGCAGCCATAAGAAGCACATGAACTGTTGTCTGATTTTGACAGGTGTAGGTGTTAGAGTCCATATACTTGGCACACGCCTATTTTGACATAATTTTGTAATTATAAGATCTATATAATGCTACATAGTTTAAGTTTTCAATATTTAAAAATATGTTAGTCATGACATATAATAGATCTTTATATATTTAAAGATTGGATGGATTATTTCATACAGAATGTATATTTAAATATTACAAAGAATGTACAACTCATTAAAACCTATTAAAGCTCAAAAGCTAATTGTCTATAGACTTACAATGTTAATTTATATCAAAATAGTGGGCGTAGCTGCCTTTAATATTGAATGTTAAATTAAATGAGGTAACAGCAATACATTAACAATAAAATTAATAGAATGTCATTAAGTATAAGTAATATCCTTTGTGCAACTGTTAAGTAGTAACAAACTCATTGTATTGCATGAAAATAAAGAAGATGAAGCACTATATAATAATGTAGCAACCCCATTGATATCAAATTGTCAAACTCTTATAATGATGGTCAGTTAAAGAAAATTTAAATACTAATTTAGTGCTTTTTTATGACAATGCCACAGGAAATGCTTGTTCAGAAAGCAAATGTAAACCATGGGCCCCTCCAAAACTGGCATAACGGTTTGATTGCCTAATTTTCCTATCAAACATGTGATACAGGGTGTTGTTTCTTGACAGCTCACAATAAGCTGCATATCACCTTCTATAGTTCATTTTGTCAGATGATTATCATATTTTATTTTATCACTGTCATTATATAATAATAATAATATAATAATAATAAATACCACATTTATATAGCGCCCTTTTCATTAAAATGTTCAAAGGCGCTTTACATCAATCATATATGTCTAAAAACAATATAAATGAACAGGATTATGAACATTAAAAATATTTTGCATTAACTAATTAAAAGTATAAATTATGGAATTATTTTTACATATTAATACAATATAACTTAAAGATCCTTAAAACTCACTTTACAATAT